GAAATGTATAAGAAAAATGACAAAAAAGACTCCCCGTCCGGGAATTGAACCCGGGTCACCCGCGTGACAGGCGGGTATACTAACCACTATACTAACGAGGATTGTATATACATCAGACACCACTAGAGATACCAATCTTCCAATATTATAACACTACCTTCTCACTACGCACATATACAACCTTCCGACGCCCAATACATTCATCTACGACGCATACACATACGTCCATATTCACGTCCTGCTCTATCAAACTCCTCCTCTCATACATCCTCTTCATTTTTACGACAAATCGCGCCCTCTCCCTTTCATTGACTGACATCTTTTTAACGAGATACATGTATTCACGTTGCTACGACCGTATGCACAGAACGCGCTCTTGTAGCCACCACATTGACGCAGTAGAGTCCACGGAAGCCAAGCGCTGGCCGCCGCATCCCGTCATTCAGGTGCCACCGACAATTTACGCACGCGGATGAACATCGCATATATTGTGTGATGTGTCATTGGCCATCGCAAGCGCTCGCTTGTAGTTACGATAGCCAATCCTAGCGATGATCCACGGTTGCCGTTTGGTGGCTGGCCGTCGCGCCGCCGCAGTCCATTCATGTGTTGCCCTAAAAATCAAATGTCGAAGTGGTTGGATGATCGAGTTTTGCAATCCACGCAACAGCGCGCTCCAAACTTTATAGCTAAAGTAGATGGTGAGCCGAACGCACTTTTATCTACGACAGCTATCTACGTCACATACATCCACTTCTTTTTAACGAAAAGTCGCTCCTCTCATTGAACGATGCCTTTAAAATAGTTTTTCAGTTGTAAATTTTTACGATCGGGTGCTGTGAAACCGCTGGGGCAGTGCAGAGTTTTCGTATTCGATGTCCCGTGTGCATCTTATGGATGGGCGTGACTGCGGCGAGGATACCCAATATGACGATCACGACGACGTAATCTCAGCTCAGCTTCGCCACTGCCTACGTTTTGAGCGCTGCATTTGGGAGAAGGACGACCCGGAAGTTGCGAAGCTTGTGGACGAGCTTTCGCAGTGTCTGTTGGATCCATTCACTACTTTGCCGCCTCCACCAACTCCGCGTACGCATTGTCGTTTGGTGTTTCGAACTCATGCTCTCATAACTACTAGCACTGGCGACTGAGGCAGAATTGCTCGCTGAGCGCGAGCGACGGGCTGAAGCAATAGAGTCCAAGTGGTCATCGACGCTAGCGCGCTTCGAGGCGACGCAGGCCAAGGTGCAAGACAAAATCACAAAACACAGGGTACACGTCAAAGAAGAGGCATCCCTTTTATATGACATGTTTATCTAGGAATTTTTAGCTCAAGAGGCTGAAAAGGATTTGCGCTTCAAGCCCGCAATTGATCGCAAGAGCCGTCAGATCGCCCACGAGTTTCCAAGCTTTCTTGAGCGTCAAGCCTCCGCAGTTGCATGGCGGTACTCGAACTTGCATGATCAACTGATCAACGAGAACATGCCGCATCATTCGTTTGTTGAATGTGTAGCGACAAGCACATGACAGATGAGCGCGAGCAAAAGTTACTCGAGGTGGCAACCATCGATCGGAGAATAGCATCTTATTTTATCCTGCGATGTAGGAAGACCAAGCGGTGACGACGCGGCCCAACTTGTGTCTCTGCGGCCAGGCCACTAAGCATTCCCTCTTTGCGAGCAGTTTCTTTCGCTGTGTATAAGCAAGAATGCGCATCTTCCAATTCAGCGCAAGACCCATGCAATGAAGCGCAGCGTCGACGACATGCTGGCATACGTAATGTGATACGGCGACCACCACTCGCCCTGATTGTCGACGCAGGCGCGTGCCAAGCACGAGCGTCAGGTCGAGCGGTCGCTCGCAGCGCATGAAAAGGAAGCAGCGAACGCGTCATTCACACCGACGCTCAACCCACGCTCGATCAAGGTTCCGCCTACGCGCTGAAGCGACCATCAACCGCAACCTATGTTAGATTTACGAAGCAATGGTGCAAGCGGGCAAAAAACCAGTCCGGCCGCGAAGCCGTGCGTTCCAGATCCCATTTCTTCGATGCAGATTTACCATACCCGTCGTAGACGACGAGAGTCCAGCACCCAAAGGCAGCTTTCGACCCGAAATCAACCCAAAATCGCGAGCGCTCGCCACAGCGCAGACTGAGACGCAAACGGTCTTTGAGCGCCTTGAAGCCCACGCCGACGCGCGCCAATTGAAGCTCGCGGAGACTAGCGTTGCGCGCATAGACGCGCATATCCGCCACGTGAAAGCGATCGGGAAGGACGACTTGCAGCTCCAGCGAATTCTTCAGCACCTTTCACCCAAGGTACCATCGTCACACACAGTACAGGCTGCTCAACTCTACGAGAGTAGGGAAAGGGTGCAGAACCGCCCGTAACGAGAGTGGTCGTGGGGAGCTCGGACGGGTTCATTTTGGACAACTTTACGTCAGACACAGCGCAGCCGCAGCTGCTCGGGCAAACCAAGGCCGAGACTGGCCTCTTCAAGGGCGCGAGCTACGACACGCCGGGGACGCTCAAGAAGAGTCGCGTTGGTATTCGAACCTAGATCTCGAGTATCGCTACATTATTTGATATACAATAAAATATTCGTGCGGAGCTAGTGCGGCGAGCTAGGTTGATGGGCCTAGAAACTTCATTTCACGTTATCTACGCGTAGGCAAGGATCGATAAGATATTTTTGCCCTTGACTTGCGCTGCACAGAAATGCAAGTGTCGACCACTTGACCTCAGCGCCGATGGACATCGGTACAAGTCGATGGCGTTCGCACCTGTGAAGTGTCGGAGTACTGGAAAACGACACGAAGAATAGGAAAAATGTAAGGCGACGAAGACACCGATTCGTTAAGAGCACATGCTAGTAGTTGTAGACTGCAGCGAGCGCCAAGTGTAATTCGTCGTATTCGTCTTGAGCATGGAGGGTGATGGTTTAGCAGCCGGTCGACTTCTTCGTGGCCAAGATAAGCGCGACGATGAGACCGTACAGACCCAGAGCTTCGGCGAAAATCAAGATGAGAATCATACCGACGAAGAGCTTCTCCTGCTGGCCGACGGCGCGGACACCAGCGTCACCAACGACACCAATGGCCATACCGGCAGCGAGACCCGAGAGACCGCAGCACAAACCAGCGGCCAAGTGGGCAAAGCCCGTGTAAGAGCCGTACACCGTTTCCTTGCCGTTCGGGACATCAATCGAGCCCTGGATGATGACGGCGACGATAAGGCCGTAGATACCGAGGACACCGGCCATGACAACGGGGATGATGTTGCGCATGACGAGCTCGGGGCGCATGACGCCCATCGACGAGATACCGACGCCCGACTTGGCCGTACCGTAGGCGGCGCCCAAGTCTATACACGTGTGCGTTAGCCCTCGTGTTTGAATCGCATCGACGTACTGGCAAAGACCAAGGCGGAGGTGACGCCCATGAAGCCGAAGAAGGGCGCGGACGTCGGGCAGAGTTCAGAGGCGAGGGCAAGCATCGTTCGTTCGGCTTAAAACTGCGGCAAATTCGAAAGTGACTGCGGCCGACCGCGTCGCGTGCGAATAAAAAACGCCCCGCCCGCCCACATGACATACAAAAACAAGTACTTGTCCAGGGGTTTCGGTATTATTTTACCAGCACAAGACCTGTCATACTCGATATATCCGCCCCGCTTCAACCCCTTCGCACCAGCGGCAAGCATGTATTGATAGAGGTTTCTGCCCTACCCCTCTCCCCGCTATTTTGGGCCGCAAAACCACCTTGCGTTTGTATTCGCCGAGAATTGGGTGCAGAAGATGGATCGCGGCCCGCCCCTGCGACATGGAGGAAGGGCATGCATGATGCGATGCAGATGAGGAACATGGTCGATGAGCGTACCAGGAGGAGATGGCCATGGAGACAGTCGACGCTTGGACAGTCGATGATGGTGGCGGACCCGCCATGGATGCTCGCAGCGATGGGGCCAAAGATACGGCGTAGTCAACTTGCATGAGATCACATTGCATCAAAGTATGTGTATGTATGTACGCGACGCTTGTTCTCTATAGGTTTGTACGACACGATAATGAAGTCGAGCTACTTGGACGACTTGAGGAAGGCCATGGCGGCGATACCCACGCCGAGGAGCGCGACGCCGACGCCGGCAAAGAGCACCGACTTGTCGCTGGACGACGTCTTCTTCTTGGGCACGATCGCGCCGTTGTGAGCGCCGATGGGGAGACCGCGCTCGCCGCCTTCGTACTCTTCGGGTACCGTCGAGATGCGGCGCGCGGGGTCGTCGAGAACGTCGACAACGAGGAGAAGCGACTTCCACTTGCTCTCTTGCGCCATGTGCACAGCGTCCATGAGACTCGCGTCGGAGGAGACAACCGCAAGGTCGCCTTCGTCGTCTTCGTACTTGAGGCGGATGTTGGTGCTTGGGAGGAGTGTCATCTTGGAGCGCACCTCGCCCTTGAGCATCTCGAGACTGTCCGGTCGACTCCGAATACGGTGCACATGCCCCATGTGGTCCTTGACCTTGAAGAGGAACGTACCAGCCATGTTGGTCGAGATGCTCGTCTGGTCGGCCGAGATGACTGAGACCGAGTCCCCGAGCTCCGAGTAGGCCGTCATTGCCATCGTCACAGCAGGCATCGTCGGTGCCATCGCTTCCGTGCGCTCGAAGTCTTCGATGGTCCCAACTGAGCACGTGTCGTCAAAGTCGTCGTGGACGCCCATCTCTTCTTGCATCGCCATCGCGCTTTGCCAGAACGTTCGCCACTCGCTCGCCGCGTTCTGGGGCGAGTTGTCACCCGACGACGCGAACTGCGAGTAGCTCAGACAGAGCACGTCGGCCATGCCCACGACGCGCTTGGACGTTGGGTCCACAATCGGCACAAAGAGCTCCCGCGTCTCCTTCATGACGTGGAGACCCTCGAGGATGCTCGACGTGGGAGGCATCGTGAGTGGGTGCGGCGTCATGACGTCTGCAACCCGCGTCGTCTCGGCCGAGAGCGATCGCGCAATGAGCTTCCGGAGCAAGTCCTTGGGCGTTACCATGCCAATCACGTCAACCCCGTCCATGACGACAGCGGCTGTGCGGGACGAGCCCATCATCTTGGCGGCTTCGCGCACCGGCGTGTCAACACCGACAAGCGGCGGCGGCATGTTCTTCTCGACAGCCATCGCGACCGTCGGGCGTCGCATCGCTTCGATCCACTTGGCTGCCGTGTCTTGGTGACCAAGACCGCGCTGGAGTTCCGACGCGAAAGCATCGGCTGACGTCTGCGCGCGCTCCATGACTGAGATGGCGTCGTGGAGGCACTTAGAGATGTCGAGCATACCGCTGACCTCGCCGTTGGCGTCGACGACCGGGAGGTGCTTGAAGTGGCCTTGCAGCATCAGGTTGAGCGCGTCCGTCGCCGGGTCCGTCATTCGGACGCAGGTCGGCGACGCCGTCATGACGGTCGAGACGAGACACGTTTCAGGATCAATATCGCGCGCCAAGACACGACGCGTCACGTCCGTGTCCGTGAGAATACCCACAAGCTGCCCCGTGGCGTTGACGACGTTGCACGCTTCGACGCGGGCGCGGCGAAGAATTAGCGCAGCATCCGCGACCGTGATCGTTTCCGGGAGAATTGTAGCCTTGGACGGGCGCAGCGCCGCGACGGTTGGCACCGGGCCGTTGCTGGTAGCCTTGATACCGCCATCCGCATTCTCGTCGTGGTCGGGAGCCGAGAGCGAGAGGTCCCAGAATGTCTGCCACTCACCCGAGCCCTTCGAGAAGCTGCCGTAGCTCAAACTCAAAACGTCGACGAGACCCGCAATCTTGCCCGTCGTCGCATGCACGACTGGGAGATTCAAAAAGTTGTTTTCGTGCATGAGATGCAGCGCGTCAAGAACCGAGAGCGACGGGTCGATGGCCTCGGGGTTCTTGGTCATGACGTCGCCGACGGGTGTTGAGAGCACATCGAGGCCGCCACCGACGACGCGGAGGAGCACGTCCTTCGGCGTAAGAATGCCCACAAGCTTTTGCTGGCTGTTAACCACGAGCGCGGCCTTGCGACTGGACGCCATCTGTCGCGCCGCGTGCAAAATCGAGTCGGTCGCAGACAAGAGCGGCGGCATTGCCTGCGCGTCGGCATCGAGAATCGACTGAAGCGATGGCGACATGAGGCCGCGTGCGTTGTCATCGAGGCGCCGGATCGCATCGTAGAGGCACTTTTGGATCTTGAGCATGCCGCTCACACGCAAGTCGGCGTCGACGACCGGCAAGTGGCGAAACTTGCCTTCAAGCATCATAAACATCGCGTCCATCGCGCTGTCGGCTTCCTGGACGAATGTCGGGTTGGCGGTCATGGCGTCCGCGACTGTGATGAAGCCCGGGTCGTTGCCGAGGGCCACAACGCGCCGCGTGACGTCCGTGTCAGTCAAAATGCCGAGCAGACCACCCTCACGCGAAACGACAAGGGCAGCGTCCGCCTTGTCGGCCTTCATTGTCATGGCCGCATCCCGCACACTTACGTCAGCGAGGACCGTGAGCGCGGGCGACGGGCGGAGCTTGGAGACAGGACGCACATCACCGGATGCAGTCTTCTTGCCACCGCCACCTTGGTGCATCGAGCTCTTCTTCGAGTGCAAGCTATGACTGCTCATGACGGACGATGTCCCGTCATCGTCCACCTCGAGCGACGACTCCCAGAACGCCTTCCAGTCAGCCGGACTGCCCTTCGCAAAGCTGCCATACGACAGCGAGAGGATGTCGATCAAACCAAGCACCTCGGGCTCAGTCGACGAGCGCAGCACCGCAAGATGCAAGCTCTTGGTTTCATGCATTGCATGCATTGCGTCGACGACTGACGTCGCACCGTACACGATTTGCGGCGCCGAGATCATGACGTCGCAGACAGCGGTCGTGTGCACGGGTCGGCCCTTGGCGAGCACGTTTGTCAAGAGCTCGGCGGGCGTGAGCATGCCGAGGAGGTGTCCACGCTCGTTGACAACCAAAGCTGCGCGCTTGGTCTCGGCCATGAGCTTGGAGGCCGCGAAGATAGACGTGTAGGGCAGCACTCGCGGCGCTGCGACCGTGTCGTGCTCGATGATTGATAGCACGTCGGGAGAGAAGAGGCGGTGCGCCATCGGTCCGAGGCGCTTGACGAGCTTCGTGTTGGCCGCAAGCTCCTTGGCTTGCGACTTGGTCGTCGCCTCGAGCTTCCGAATAGCATCGTAGAGGCACTTGGCAATGTGGAGGATACCAACGACGAGGCCTTGGCTGTCAACCACAGGAATGTGCCGGAACTTGCCTGCAAGCATCGTCGAGAGCGCGTCGATGGCCGGGTCGTCCTCGGTTACGAACTGCGGCTGTGGCGTCATCGCGGCCGAGATGCTCGTCGAGTCGGGCGATTTGTTGAGCGAGATGACGCGCCGGGTGAGATCCGTGCTGGTCACAATGCCAACGAGCGCCCCCGCGCCCGAGACGACGAGCGCGGCGTCGGCACCCTGGCGCTCCATGGCCTTGGCGCACTCCCGCACAGACGTTGTGTCGAGGATCGTCATGGCCTTTGACGGACGCAAACTCGCGACCGTGCGCTGCGCCTGCACCAAGTTGGCGCCGTGACCGGGCGCTGTGAGAAGCGGCGTCGGTGCCGCAGCTTCGAGCTGAAACGTCGTGTTCCAAAACTCCTCGAGCTTGTCGCGGCTGTCGCCGTACACGATGCTGAAGCAGCCGTAGCTCATCGTGAGCACGTCGACAAGTCCAACAAGCGTCCCAGTGGGGCTCACGACGGGCAGGTTGAGCACTTGGGTCTCGTGCATGATCTGCATCGCCTCGAGCGCATGCGTATCGGGAAGACCGACCTCGGGGTCCACGAGCATGACGTCACCAAGGATCGTTTTCGTCGGGTCATTCCCAAGCGCAAGGACACGCAGCACAAGCTCCTTTGGCGAGAAGACACCGACGAGGCGTCCATTCTCGACAACAATTGCAGCCTTTCGAGACGACGCCATGAGCGCGACGGCCTCGGCGACGGTGGTCGTCCGAGACACGACAGGCGCCGGTGCACCCGTGTCCGTCTGCAGCAGCGACGACAAGGTCAGCGACGACGAGAACATCTTGTCCATCAGCGATCCGACCATGCCTTTCATCTGGCCCTTGAACTGCTGCTCGAGCGACTGTTGCAGCGCCTCGGTCGCACTCATGGCTTGCTCCATGCGCTTGATCGCGTCAAAGAGACACTTGCCGATGCTAAGAATGCCGACGACACTCGACTGGTCAACGACGGGGAGGTGTCGGAAGTGACCTTCGTGCATGAGGACCATCGCATCGAGCGCAGAGTCGTCGGGCCCGACGTACTTGATGTTGGCCGTCATTGCCGACGAGACGGGCGTCGACCGCGCGTTCAAATTTTGCGCCACGACGCGACGGCAAATGTCGTTGTCCGTGATGATACCGACGAGCCCGCCGTCGTGAGCAACCACGAGCACCGCGTCAGTTTGCTTTGCGCGCATGAGCTGGCACACGTCTGCGACGGACGCCGTCTCGACAATCGTGTGCGCGGGTGCAGGACGCAAGCTCGAAACGGGCGTCGGCTTGGACGTGAGCGACCGGTCCGTGCGACGCGAGAGCTTGGACGACCGCGAGAACGCCGACGCGCCACTCGCGTTGCTCGCGAGCTCGTCGAGGTCGCTTCCGTGGTGAAAAGACGCTTGCACAAACTGCGTAAGCATGTGGCCATCGTCGCCGGCCGAGAAGGCGTGCACGGCGAGGCTCAGAACGTCCGTGAGGCCTGCGACGACACCGTTCTCGTCGACAATCGGCAAGTTGAGGAAGCGCCCGTCGTGCATGATGTGGAATGCGTCCATGATCGTCGTACCACTCACGGCGGCGTCCGGGTCGGCGGTCATGACCTTCGAGACACGCGTCGTTGTCAGCGAGAGGCCTGGCGCGATCACCCGCGTCATGACGTCCTTGGGCGTCAGAATACCGATAAGGCGCTTGTCCTCGTCGACGACCAGCGCAGCCTTGCGCGACGATGCCATGGCCGCAACCACGTCCTCGAGCATGTCGTCTTCCAAGACGAGAGGCGGAAGCGTGTCGCGCGCAATGACGTCGTACAGGGTCGGCGACGACATCTTCTCGAGCATCGGGGCGAGAAGGGCCATGGCCGAGCCGCTCGCGTTGAGGTCCTTTTGAAGCGCTAGCGCTTTTGTGTGTGCATGCTCGAGGCGTCGAATCGCGTCATGGAGGCACTTCGACACATTGAGAAGTCCGACGACGGCCCCCGAGTTGGCGTCGATCACGGGGAGATGGCGGAACCGTCCCTGGAGCATCATGTTGAGCGCCTGCGTCGCCTTATCCGTCGAGGTCACGCAGCTCGGGTGCGGCGTCATGACTGTCGCGACAGCCGTCTTGGACGCATCAAGACCGGGACCGACCACGCGCCGCGTAACATCCGTGTCGGAGAGAATACCTTCCAATCCACCAGCGTCGTTGACGACGAGCACGGCGGCTGTGCGGTTGGACTTCATGACACCTGCCGCTTCCTTGACCGACATTGTTTTCGGCACAGTCACAGCCTTGGCAGGCCGGAGCCGCTCGACCGTGCGCGAAATGTCTTCCACAGCCTCTTGGATCGCTGCGGGTTTTGTCGTCGAGGCCTTGGAAACCTTGGATGCGCGCGAAACGACAGAGATCGCTTGCGAAGACGCGTTCGAGTCGTTGGAGTTGCTGCGCGGGCGGCGCGGCGGACGTTCGTTCTTGGGTACAATGGCTTGCGACCCGAGCGACACAAGCGCTTGCGAGCCCACGGGCACGAGCGCCGTGGCGCTAGGCGCCGCTGGCAGACCTGGCTTCGTGGGTTGCTGCTTGGAAGCGACGCTGACCGACGGCGCCGTTACAGACACGGTAGGCGCTCCCACCGACGGTGCACTGATTACTGGCGCAGAGATGGTCGGTGCCGAGATCGATGGTGCGCTCACGGTTGACGTCGAGATCGACGGCGCAGCACGCGGCATGGCGACCGACGCAGTTTTGGCAGGCGCCTTGGCAGTCGTCGCTTTCACAACAGTCGTCGGCTTGGTCGCGACTGCAGCAACGGGCGCCGCAACCGGTGGCGGTGGTGGCAAGAGCGCCTGGGCTTTGGCACGGCGCTTAGTCACGGCGTCCAAATCCGCCTGGATGGAGGCGCACTTGTCGAACTGCTTCTTGGCCATCGACGTTTGGAGCGCGACCGTGAGGTTGGCAATTTCGATGTCCATCTCGGCCGGCGTTTGCTTGGTCTTGCGCACCGCGACAAGCTTATCCAGGCGGTCGTGGATCGCGCCGCACGCGTCAAATTGGCGGTTGGCCATCGCGGCCTGGAGCTCCGCGTTGAGCGCCTCGATACGCGCGTCGAGCTCCACGGGCTCGAGGTCTGAGAGGTCTTCGGGCATTGCCTTTCGGAAGGCCTCGAGCGCGTCCAACTTGGTCTGCAGTGCCGAGCACTCGGCGTATTTCTTCTGCCGTGCGAGCGCGTCCATTTCGTCATGCAGCTCGGCGATCTCGGCGTCGACTTCCTTGGGCGTGCGCACGAGTCGACGCGCCTCCAGCGTCGCGTCCAAGTCCTTTTGCAAGCTCGTGCACTTGTCAAACTGCTTCTTCTTGGCCGCGACCGCAATTTCAGCCTCGATTTCCTTAATGCGCGCGTCGAGCTCCTTGGCGCCCAAGCCCGCAAACGGATGCAGAAGGTCGCGCTGGCGAATCACAAACCCACGCGCGATCGCTTGGATCTTGACGGCCGCCGCGACGCGCTCGCGGTGGACGACGATAAGGCGCTTGTACTTGGAGCGCGCGGCAAAACCTCGGGCCATCTTCATGACGGTGTAGGCCGCAGACCGCAGGAGTCCGAGCTCCTTCTGCGCCCGCCACGAGCGCACGGCGCTTTGGATCTTGATTGCGCACTGGGTGCGCTTCCAGACGTGGTATCCGCGCTGGAGCGTGCGAGCGGCCGAGATCTCGCGCAACATCTTGAGGCGCTTGAGTTTCTCCGCGACAGACCGTTTGAGAAAGATCTTGGTGCTGCCCATCTGCCACTGGTCCTTGCCTTCGTTGAGCATCTCGGAAATGCTCGCTACGAGCTCGTGGATGTCTTCGGCGGCCGGGTCGAGTGCGAGAAAGTCGTAAAAGAACGTGTCGTGCTCCTCGCGCAAGCCGAAGCCCTTTTGGCGGATCTGGATCGCCTCCATCATACCGGAATACTTGAGCTGGCGCACGCACTGCGCGCCGTCCATCGCCATCGGCCGCTTCTCCTCGTTGGGCTTGATGCAACGAATGTAGCGCGGCGTTGCCGCCGAGATCTTTGCCATCAGCTCTTGGAGCTGGTACCGGAACTGCGCACCGACGCTCACTTCACGTAGCGTACGCGTCTTTTGTCGCCTGGGAGCTCGGACGGGCGGCGAGAGACGGCCGCGGGCTTGGCTGACACGCGGCGCGAAACCGCCTCCGTACTCTGGAGACTGTTGTCGACGATCGTCTTGAGCCAGTCGCTGCCCGACTGCTTGATGAGCTCCTTCATGTCGTCGTTCAGATCTTCGTTGTTCTTGTCGTTGAAGCCAGACGCGTCGTAAATGACGTCACCGGCGTAGTGCTTGATGCCAAAGCTGTACGCGGCGTCGACCTTGGGCTGGATATACGATTCGTGGCCTGCGTTGCCGCCAAACGTCGCGTGGAGGTAACTCACAAACTTGCGGTTGGCCTCCTCGCCCTTCGTACGCCAGACGTCGTCGAGCGCGATGAAGACGCCAGGCTTGCCGTTGGGCTTGCCCTCGAGAAGCTCGAGCGTCGTCTGGTTGTCCTGGAACTTGATGTGCGTCCAGTCAATGCCCTCCTTCGTGTACTCGACTTGCTCGACCTCGAGCATGTGCTGGTTGAAGTGCCGCTGGAGCTTCTCGTTGGTAAAATTGATGCAGAGCTGCTCAAACGTGTTCCAGTCAAACTTCTCAAAGCCATAGATATCCAGGACGCCAATGAAGCCCCACTTGCGCGACGGTTCGGAGATCGTGCGATTGAGCTCCGTCACGAGCCAGAGGAAGAGCGATGAGTAAATAGTCTTGGCGAGCGCGTCACGCTTGTCACGGGCCTGGTTCGCGTCCTGTGTCTGGATGATGACTTTGCCGCCGACAAAGAGCTGTCGGTTGCAGAGCGCGTTGCGGAGCGCCTCCTTGGACACTTGGAGGAGGTCCGCGATCCACGACATGGTCTTGAGCGTTGTTGCGTTGAGTGGCACGCACGTCTCTTGCTCGACCTTGAAGTCGACGTTGCCGAGGTGCAAAATCGCCGCCTAGAATATGTGCTCGTGAGAGAGGTACGAAATAGGATATATGTACCAGCATCGCAAACACATTGTCCTGGAGCTCTTGCGAGATGCCAATGTTGCCGAGGCAGCGACGCGTAATCTCAAACTCGTGCTCGTCGTCTCTATCCCATGAAAGTATATGAGCACCAATGAGATGGAATCAAATGGATGGCATACTTGGACGGAATGACATAACACTCGCTCTTTCGGAGGTAGTCGTAGTCCTCCGGGCGCGTGAGGTGCAATTGCGACTTCGTCGCGGCGTCGGCGCCCGCGAGCAGCTGGTAGAAGATGTGGTAGTTGCGCTCGCCAATGTTCTGGGTCACGATGCGCGTCTTCTCGAGGAGGAAGTTCATGATCTCGGCGCCGCCAATCTTGCCGTGGTGGTCGAACTGGATCTCGATGAACTTACCAAAGCGCGACGAGTTGTCGTTGCGGAGCGTCTTGGCGTTACCGAACGACTCGAGGAGCGGGTTCGAGTCGAGGACCTTTTGCTCAAGCGAGCCATCGGTCGCGGCGCCCGAGGATTGACCGCTCGCGACTCGCGCCAAGTAGCGCATGATGACCTTGGTTGTCTCGGTCTTTCCGGCGCCACTTTCACCGCTGATGATGATGCTCTGGTCACTGGGCTTGGCGACGTCCGAGAGGACGAGCTCTTCGTACGCGGTCTTGACGGTCGCAAACACGTGCGGTTTGCTGCCGCCGCTCGTCTTGTGGTACAGATCCATCGTTGCGTCCGAGTAGATGTCGTCGATGACCCGGTACGGATTGATGCTAATGAGGATCGGGCCCACGAACGTGTAGATGAGGTCATGCTCGTAGCGACTGTGGAGGCTGCGCAGTAGGTTCTCCTCCGAGAGGTCCGAGAGCGTGAGCAGGTCGTCGATCTGCCACGAGAGGTCTGCGCTGGACTCCTTTGCGGCCTTGGCCTTCTTCAGGCGCTCGGCCCGCTTGGCCGTCTTCGCCTTGCTGGCCATGCTGCCTCCTCAACGAGCCCCACGGACGACGAAAAATAACCAACCACAGAGCGTCCGCCAAAGAAGACAGCCGCTTTCTTTTTACGATTTCGCAATTCCACATACATTTACCAAGCTACATGCGCGACAATATATTTTAATGTACGAATTAGACGCGGACAAGCAGAGGCGTTGCGTCCAACTGGTCATGGCGTACACTGTAATACGCGCGCGCCACGAATTATACCGTACACGTTCGGTCAGTCGACAGCAAGTGCGCAGCTGCATGACAGAGGAACCGCTTCACCTCATTTGAGGTCGCTGACCATTCAAACCAACAGTAGGAATTATGTGCTCAATTCGTCGCTCGGACATTGATGCTGCTTCTATGCAGGCAAGACAGCTGGGCATTCTTGACACGAGACGCTACGTAATTTTACGCAGTAAGAGTGTAAGCCGCGTGGCAAGAATAGCCGTCGCGCGCTGCCATTGGCCAAAAGTCGTCTAGTTCCAGAGACCACACAGATGCCGTGCCGAATAAAATTACGTGCCTTCATTGGATGTTTGTATGCCGAGCGACGGGGTGCATTAAATAGGCCAGTAGCAGGAAGCATGGCGGACGAGAAGGACCGCATCGCGCTCACGTCGGCGGGCACGCACTTTGACGCGGACCTCTACGGAGGCATGGGCACGGACAAGTTCGCGGGCTACTCGCGGACGCTGGACGACGAAGAAGAGGAGAAGGCCGACCCGCGGGCGCAGGCCAAGCGTGGCCACGGGTCGGCGGACGGCCTCGTCGACGAGGACTACAATCCGTTCGAGGACAAGGAGCGTCGCGAAGCCAATGGCTCGGGCATGGTCAACACCAAGATCGTGGACCGTGAGAACGCGTATACGAAGCGGCGCTTCGATCGCATGCTGTCGCCGGAACGCGCGGACGCGTTTGGAGGTGGCAAGGACGGCGCCGCCAAGAGCTACCGTGAAATCATGCATAGCCAGCAGCTTGACGCCGAGCGCGAAGAGGTCATGCGCAAGATCCGTAAGAAGCGCCAGGAGGAAGAAGAGGTTGCGGTCGAAGAGGCGGCGAAGAAGAAGCGCCGCCGATGGGACGACGCGGGCTCGTCCTCGAACGCAGAAGGTGCGACCACTGATGAGTCTGCATCCGAGTGGGACCGCTCCGACAACGAAGGCCTTGACAAGAGTGCTGTCGCGGCCACGCCTGTGGCCTCGCGCTGGGACGCCACCCCGGCGGCGACACCAAAGAAGAACCGATGGGACGAAACTCCCGCGCCGGCTGGTTCAACGACCAGCGCTGCGGCAGCTGCACCGTCCTCATCAACCAAGTGGGACGAAACACCGCAGCAGGCGCGGACGAGCGATTACGGCGGCGTGACCCCGACGCCTGGCCGGAAGCGGTCGCGCTGGGACGAGACGCCCATGCCCGAGCAACCAGGCGCGCAAACACCCGGTATCATGATGACGCCGGGCGGCACGCACTTTTTGTCGTCGCAGATCACGCCCGAGGTTGCTCAGCGTCTGCGCTGGGAGCGCGAGATCGACGAGCGCAACCGGCCGCTGACTGATGAGGAGCTCGACGCGATGTTCCCGACATCCGGTTACAAGATCTTGGACCCGCCGGCCAACTACATGCCGATCCGGACACCGTCGCGCAAGCTTATGGCGACGCCGACACCGATGGGCCAGACGCCGGGGTTCTCGATCGCAGCGTCCACGCCCGGCGGTGTCTCGGACTATGGCCTCGCGGTGCCGCAAACGCCATCGGGTGGCGACATGCCGTTCATCAAGCCCGAGGACTACCAGTACTTTGGGAAGCTCATGGAAGAGGTTGACGACGAGGCGCTCGACGCCGAGACGGTCAAGGAGCGCAAGATCATGCGGCTTCTGCTCAAGATCAAGAACGGGACGCCGCCCCAGCGCAAGACGGCGCTACGACAGCTCACGGACAAGGCGCGCGAGCTCGGCGCGGGGCCGCTCTTCAACCAGATTTTGCCGCTGCTTATGGCACCGACGCTGGAGGACCAGGAGCGCCACTTGCTCGTCAAGGTCATTGACCGCATTCTGTACAAGCTCGACGACCTTGTCCGGCCGTTCGTGCACAAGATCCTCGTCGTCATCGAACCGCTGCTCATTGACGAAGACTATTACGCCCGCGTTGAGGGCCGCGAGATCATCTCGAACCTCTCCAAGGCCGCAGGTCTCGCGACGATGATCTCGACGATGCGCCCCGACATCGACAATGCCGACGAGTACGTGCGCAACACGACAGCGCGGGCGTTTGCGGTCGTGGCGTCGGCGCTTGGGATTCCGGCGCTGCTGCCCTTCCTCAAGGCCGTGTGCAACTCGCGCAAGTCGTGGGAGGCGCGCCACACGGGCATCAAGATTGTGCAGCAGATTGCAATCCTTATGGGCTGTGCGGTGCTTCCGCATTTGAAGCACCTCGTCGAGTGTGTTGGCCACGGCCTCGTCGACGACCAGCAAAAGGTGCGTACGATCACGGCGCTGTCGCTGGCTGCACTTGCCGAGGCCGCGCACCCGTACGGTATCGAGTCGTTCGACTCGGTCATTCGGCCCCTCTGGAAGGGCATCCGTCAGCATCGGGGCAAGGGCCTTGCGGCCTTTCTCAAGGCGATCGGGTACATCATTCCGCTCATGGACGCTAACTGCGCCAACTACTACACGCGCGAGAGCATGGTGATCCTCATTCGTGAGTTCCAGTCGCCGGACGAGGAGATGAAGAAGATTGTGCTCAAGGTCGTCCAGCAGTGCGTCGCCACCGAGGGCGTAGCGCCGTCATACGTCAAGAGCCACGTGCTGCCCGACTTTTTCCGGCACTTTTGGGTCCGCCGCATGGCGCTCGACAAGCGCAACTACAAGCAGCTCGTCGAGACGACTGTCGCGCTCGCCAACGCCGTGGGGGCCTCTGAAATTGTCGGGCGTGTCGTCGACGACCTCAAGGACGAAAGCGAGCCGTACCGGCGCATGGTCATGGAGGCAATCGACAACATCGTGCAGAACCTTGGTGTGACCGACATCGACACGGACCTTGAGGAGAAGCTCATCGACGGGCTCCTCTTTGCTTTCCAAGAGCAGACGGCGGACGACACGTCCACTATGCTCAACGGCTTTGGCGTCGTCGTCAACGCGCTCGGATTGCGCGCCAAGAACTACCTGCCGCAGATCTGCGGTACGATCAAGTGGCGCCTCAACAACAAGCCCGCGAAGGTGCGCATGCAGGCCGCAGATCTCATCAACCGCATCGCGGTCGTCATGAAGACGTGCGACCAGGAGCAGCTCATGGGCCACATGGGCGTCGTCTTGTACGAGTACCTCGGCGAAGAGTACCCAGAGGTCCTAGGGTCGATCCTTGGCGCGCTCAAGGCCATCGTCAACGTCATTGGTATGGCCAAGATGACGCCGCCGATCAAGGACCTCTTGCCGCGACTGACGCCGATCCTCAAGAACCGTCACGAAAAGGTGCAGGAAAACTGCATCGACCTCGTCGGGCGTATCGCAGATCGCGGCGCGGAGCTCGTCTCGGCGCGCGAGTGGATGCGCATCTGCTTTGAACTTCTCGAGATGCTCAAGGCGCACAAGAAGGGCATTCGCCGCGCCGCCGTCAACACATTTGGGTACATTGCCAAGGCGATTGGCCCCCAAGACGTGCTCCACACGCTTCTTAACAACCTCAAGGTGCAAGAGCGTCAAAACCGCGTGTGCACAACGGTCGCGATTGCGATCGTGGCCGAGACGTGCTCGCCGTTTACCGTCATCCCTGCGCTCATGAACGAGTACCGCGTGCCAGAGCTCAACGTTCAGAATGGTGTCCTCAAGGCCTTCTCGTTCATGTTCGAGTACATTGGCGAAATGGGCAAGGACTACATTTACGCGGTCACTCCGCTGCTGCAAGACGCGCTCATGGACCGCGACCTTGTGCACCGGCAGACGGCAGCGACCACTGTCAAGCATCTGGCGCTCGGCGTCGCGGGCCTCGGTTGCGAAGACGCGGTGATCCACTTGCTCAACTTTGTGTGGCCCAACATCTTTGAAACGTCGCCTCACGTCATTGGCGCCGTCTTTGACGCGATCGAGGGCTGCCGTGTCGCGCTTGGTGCGCACGTCATTCTGCAGTTTTGCCTCCAGGGGCTCTTCCACCCCGCGCGACGCGTGCGCGAGGTCTACTGGAAGATCTACAACTCGCTCTACATGTACGCGCAAGACGCGCTCACGCCTGCGTACCCGCTCATCCCGAACGACGGCGACTACACGTTTGAGCGGTCGTACCTCGGTCTCACGCTCTAGTTGTCTTTGACAGCTCTTATATAAACCAAAACCTTCATGATACCCTCACGATTTGCTCGTCGATCTGTGAAATGGACCAGAATAAGAGTCGCGAATAGGTGCAGTTGGGATTTGATGGTCTGGTTTGAAATCTGGTGCAAGGCCACCGCCTCGTAGTATCCGGCCGTCTCGGCAATGCTGCAACGTACAGTCTATCTGGCACATCAGGCCGTCGCCTTTGCACTCGCGCCAAAATTGCGTAGATGCCTGGGATAAAGTACGTAACGTTAGCTGCTAAGTACCACGCCTGGATCAGGCTGCTGGAGCCGTGCTCCGTTGTCTCCCGCGTGGGGCCGCGGAAAAAAGCCTCCACACGTGGGCACGCTGGCAAGTGCGCATTCGGTTGGCACCACGGGCCCTCGCTGCCAGTACACGTCTTGAGAATGCGCTTCGACGGCCATGCAGTCAAAGATGTCGCCCGTGCCACTGAAAATATCTGCCGCGAGTTGGATGCGGATCGAAGACATCTGTACGCGCTGGTTGCGCTCGTCAACCCAGCGCAGCGCCTTGAAGCGCGTGAGAGCATGCTTTTCTTGTCCATCACGACATCGCCCACCTCGAAGCCCGGGTCCGACTCGGATTCACTCTCCTCGAAAAACTCCAACATTGACGCCGGCACGCGCTTCTGCATCAAGACGAGATGCAGATCTAAAAAGCCAGTCGACTGGAGTACGCAGTACTTGGACACTCGCGCAGTCCTTGCACTTAAGCGTCGCTAACGTCGCGCTCACGCTGGTTTACTCGTGACCACTCTCCACGAGCACGAACTTGTTGGGTGCCGACGTCCACTTAGTCACGGCCACCGTGGCGCGCTCCACAACATCCGTGTTGTAGAAGCACCAAAGGACGCGAGTGAAAACGATGCCACCTCTCGTGCGGAAACTCCTCGACGCGTCCTCTCAGTTCGAGCGCCAGCCAGCCGAGAAGCGACTGGTGCCGATGGAACAATAGCTAGCTCCTTGTTCTCACAAATGATTGGGCCATTCACTTTATGTTTCATCGGGGTGTTGGTAAATCGCCTGCCGCCATCATACACGCGACGGCATGTCCGTTTTAACATTCGCTGTTTGGGATCGCGACATTGCCAATAGCCCCACGACGCACAAGGTTGTACGTCAGCACGAGACGGTGGCCAGACGTCAAGGGTGCGACGGCGTGGTGCACGTCGGCAAAGAAAGCGCAGTAGTGCAGCGCGTCCGCGCTCGCGGGGCCGTCCAAACCAAATCGCTTCGTCTGGCCTCGGTGCAGGACGTCCAAGTGACCACCCGTGTGCTCTGCCGGAAGCTGGACGAGCAATGTCCCAAACATGCCCGGCTCCTTCTCCGTGTCCTGGTGCTCGAGAAAAAAGTCACCCTCCTCGTACAAGAGCAACTTGTACAAGTGCGCGTCGACAGGGAACGAGAGACCGAGCTTCTCGCACGCGTCAATGGCCAACTGGTTGACGGCAGCCGTCCACGCCGGCGACAAGTGAACTTTGTCGGCGGTCGCCTCGACGCTGCGACGGACGTTCGTGTCGATGACCGTGTCGTGACCACGACCAAACGGCGAAATGGTGCAGGCGGCCTTGAGCGTCGCGGCTTGCTCAGGACACAGCGGAAAGGCAATGCGGCCAACACCGTCGACACGCAGCAGCGAGGGTGGGAAGCCATTGGGGAGTTGGTCGCCAGTGGCAAAAGTGCCATGGGTGACGACGCTGTCGAGGATCGACCGGAGGAGCGTCTTGATGCCGTTGCCATCGTCGCAAACCACTCTAGCGCCTTCAGTATCGTCGTCACTGTAGTTTTCTCTATGGCCGCTGGTTGCGTCGGCAAGGCTGTTGTAGCTGCCTTCTTCGTCGATGCTGGTCTTGCGGCTCTGGCCGCTGTCACCGTCGCTACCGGGCGACCCGCTTGACAAGGGGCCTGTAGAAGCTGCTTGACCGCTGGTATTGGGTATTGGCATGTCGTCCGTGGGCTTCATCACAGGCCCCAAGGAGCCGCGAGGTTTTCGCTGGGGTATGTCAAAGATATTTGGTCGGCGCGCGCTGTGAGTCGAATCCATGGTGACGTCGTCGAAGTTGTTTATCAAAAACGAATCGGAAAGTACCGTTGGCGAAATCTCGCATTTTTCTGCTTCGGTGTTCTAGAGGAAGCGTGATCGAATGGGACTGCCCGCACCTATCACACAACGGCAGCTCAATGGCAATCAACGTGACGAGATCGCCCATCGTCTGCGAGAGCAACATTGGTTGACACACACGACTGTAAGCGGACTGATGCTTTATTGTATGTATTTTATGCCACGACCGAGAACTCGACAAAATCTGTTTGCCTGGTGTGCAATGAGGCGTCCACACCGATCGACACGGTCAGCCTCTCGTCAAGCGCCCCTAGATAGGCGCGGAAAGAAGCTGTCTCAAAACGATTCCCTCGTCGCGGCGTTGCTTCCACTTGACAAGTGACGCATTGTAGTCCGAGTCGGAGTAATATCGCAGCGCGCGTTTTGACCGGTGTCATAGGGCTTGGCCGTTGCACTCGCACCCGTGACACGGCTGACACCAGCGCCAAAATACTTGTTAGCACCACGTCTTGGCTGGGAGTGCGTCTTTCTTAGCGTAGGCGGAAGCACAGGAGGTCCTGGTTAGCTGGCGTATTGCACAGTTGACGTGCCGTCTCCAAGATACCGGGTACGATCGAGTCGCTGACATGTTGGTACCGACCCAACAGCGATGGCACAAAAAGAGACGCGGTGACCGGCACCAAGAGAAGCGTCGTCGCGATCGGCGCGGTGTGAGTTTTGTCCGGAGGCCTCTAGGCTAGAGCAGTGGCGAGAGACACGTTGCTCGGACTCTTTTGGCTGATTGCATGACGCACGAGCGTGGCCATGTCGCCGTAGCTCAAACCCGATTTGGTTACGAGCTGCAAGATGACTCTATCGGACAGTCGTCTGTTCGCGTCAAGGTCATGCAGTGCCGTGAGGGACGGCAAGGGTAATGCCATGGACGTCCAGTCGACGGTTGACAAGAGTGTATCGGCAGCTTGGGGTGCCGCACCGGCGAGGTGCATGATGGGCCCAGACGAGGCGCAACTATCGTACTCTAGTACCAACGAGCTCCTTAAACGACGTCGCCCATCCAAATGAGTGAATGAGCGCAGCAATTGCAGGTACCAACGCTGTACCCGGGTCGGTTAGCGTCTGCTTGGGCTCGTCATAGTAAGTGCAGCAGCTGCGCGATGGCGCCAGTGCTTTGGGCGTCGTTGCCCACTGGCGCAGCATGGCGACGGCCGATTTTCGCGCGACAAGGGCCGCGGCCGCCTGCAGAGCAGTTGCGAGCTCGGGTCCCATTGGTGCAATCGCGAATGCGGCAATGCGCTGCAGCAGCGATCGCACCGACGCTGCTTCACCACTATCGACAAGCCACTGCACCCGGGAGAGGGCGGACTTGACACCGGCGACTTCGAGCGACCGTGCACGCGGCCAGAGCACAAGCAGCGTCCGCCGGCACGTAAACTCGAGCGTTGGGCGGTCTATTGACTCCATGTTTTCAAATGCGTCGTCGACGTTGTTGACAAGCTCGGACGCCAGCTGAATTTAGACGGACGCCAATTTGAGCTGGTCGTTGCGCTCGTTGACCCAGTGGAGCACGCGCAACGTCTTGTCGTGGATCTCGTCTATATCTGCGCTTTCCCAATATCTGCCCCATCGTCGTAGTCGTCCTAGCGACCGTATCGCTGGCGCTTGTTGTTCCCGACGTAGTGTGTCTCGCACGACATGCCCACGACAGGCTTCTCCATCAAGACGAGATGGAGCTCAAGAAGGTCAGCTTCTTGGAACACGTTGACGAGGCCGTGATCCTTGCCCTTGAGCGTCACAAACGTCGCAAATGCGTCCCAGCATTTGCGTGCAGCCTCGTCTGTACCTCTGAGGCTCGGCGATTATCGTCCTGCAACAGGAATATAGTGTATCACGGCAGTACGAGTATGTACGTAGTCGAAACACGTTGTTTTCTACTTTCCACGCTTTTCGCTTTTGTACCTAATGCGAAATGAGCCACTATGTGCCCGAATTTGGGGCCACCATCGCGATCGAGCTCATGCCGCCGTCAACTAGTCATTACAGTTAATAACATCATGCTGCAGGTTGTACCATGTTCATACCATAAATGGTTTGCCCCGTCATACCGCTGGCGAGAGGCGAGCAGAGAAAAGCCGTGGCGTTGGCCACTTCTTCCGGCGTAATGTTGCGCTGCAGCGGCGCAGCATCGACGACGTACTGACGCATCTTGGAGATGCCGGGAATGCCTCGCGCCGAAAGCGTGTTCACAGGGCCCGCGCTCACAGCATTGACGCGTATGTTGCGCGGCCCAAGCTCGAGCGCGAGTGCTCGACACGTGGCCTCGAGCGCCGCCTTGGCCGGACCCATGATGTTGTAGTTGGGAATCGCTTTCACGGCGCCAAGATACGAGAGCGCAACGATGCTGGCGCCCGGGTTCAGGCTCAGATTCTGTACGAGGCCCACGAGAGAGTGGCTGCTGATGAGCATCGACTGCATGAAGGCGTCGGGCGTCGTGGTCGCAAATGGCTTGGTAAGCGCGTCGGGCGACGCGTAGGCGACCGAATGTACGACACAGTCCATGGGTGCTAGGTCGCCGAGGCGGGCCATGTCGTCTGGCTGCGCGACGTCGCACGCGACGTGGAACGACGGCTGCTCTGGCAAGAGCGAGATGGCTTTTGCCGCGCGCTCGAAAGAAACAGGCGCCGAAACGATACCAACTTCGCAGCCGTGCGACTGTAGCGTCGACGCAATTGCAAACGCAAGTGAGTGCTTGTTGGCGAGGCCCACGACGACCGCCCGCTTCCCGGTCAAGCCAAGGCCGCCACTCATCGGATCTTTTGGAAATGGAAAATGACAAGTTTAGTGTAGAAAACCGTTATTTAGTGTATTTTGGTCACCAAGCCACCACAACAACACAGCGGCGCATTTAATTTTGCCTACTACATAGTCCTACTAGCACGACTAAATGTTGTCTTTGCACACTCGGACACCATAGATGTGTACCGGTAGAATTACGAAGGACATGTGCAAGCAAGAAAATCCTAAACGAAGTCACGTCTTCTTGCACAAAGCGAGTTCGACATCGACGGGGTCTCGGCGATTCTCGTCGTTGTCGGTGCCAAGGCGACCTTGGCGCCGGCCTTTTGGTACGCGCTCGTATTTGGCCTTTTTCTTGAGGAAGCTGTCTTGCACCTAACCGATGACGATGACTCGATATCTCACGATCTGGCGTCAAGGTACCCAAAACTGCAGCCCATTCATGAGGCACGGACACGCGATCATGACGAGAATGAGCTCTGTGCGGGGAAAGTCGCGAAGCGGCTCGAAAAGAACGTCGCCAAACACCTCGAGCTCTGGGTGGAAGAGGAGAATGACGCGGCCGATGATCACTTTGGTGAGCAAGATGATGACAAGCCAGGACGCGAGCTGGACGAGCCAGACCCTACCAACCACGCTTATTCGTCCAATGCAGTCCGTATCATCAAGGGAACGCACTGGACTTGAATCGGGTCGCCATATTCGCCTGGTATTTGCAGCATCGTCCACTTGAAGTGATGCTACAGTGTCCAAGGATGAGCCGCGTGGCCACGTATACCTAAATTGTACTGCAAGCCGAACGAGGCCGCGAAGCAGCGCCCAATTGAGGAGCACGCCAAAGGACGTGTCGAGCGTAAAGTTGATAAAGTACATGGCGCACTACGATGCGTGAAGGCGAGTCATGGCGAGGTCGAAACCATACTTGGTCGGCCGAGTCTTTCTTCTGGCTGTAGCCCACAAGCACGATCGCGATCGCAATATTGGCTGCGTGGGCAACACCAGCCCCGATGGCTTGCTTTCCAGCGTCAAAAAGCCACACCTACGCAGTCACCAGGTCGTCTTGCGTCGCCACGGTACGCATCGAAGACCTACGCCGAGCGGACGCCGAGGTGATTCGCGTAGCCGCTTCAGGACGAGCACAGACATCGCAATGAAGCCGAGGGCCACTTGGATCAAGGTCTCAAACGGCCCGCTTAGGAGCTTGCAGGAGCTTGTGGCAGCAGACATGCCGGAGACGATGCCGAGACTCAGTATCCGGATGCGATTCCCTTGTGGGCCAAAACCACGCGTTTTTGCGGATGTTCCATGCGTCGATCATGTACCATCGGTACAGCCGGGGTACAACTCAGGGTACAGCTCCAGCGTTCGTCGAGAATAGAAACACTGGTCGTCTTCCGTGTCATCTGCGTGTACATATCCAAGGCACGGCAACTGGTCCGCTTACATTGCGAAGTCGTCCTGGGTTCTCGTTGCCTGCTGCCCTTCCACAACGACAACGACGGGCAGCTTCCGCTGGGTGGCTTGATATTTCACGTTGAGGCACTTTTTTTGGCGTCGTGGACCAAGCACAGGAGGTCTCAGAGACCACGCTGCCAAGACAATTGTCGCTGGTACCAGGGTTGCTGCATGTACTACTCATCTACTAGTATTACTCATTTGACTGTACTAGAACGTACAAGAGCTCTCGTGGTTTTGGAAGACGTGGTACCCGGCCGACCCAAATCATTCGAGAGCAACGTGCCAAAGCGAACCGCGCGAGCGATGTTTAACGTTCCTTATGGTACATGCATTATCACTGCACATCCAATAGTCTCCATGGAGCAAAAAGTATCTTCGCGGGGCGCATGAACCGCTTCCTGGACCGCTCCACGTACTTCTTCCCAACGAGTACTATGGGCGCGAAGAGCCGAGACTAATCTAGGCGAGAGCGGCGAGGCCACCGCTTAAGAGCGTGCAGGGAATGGGCGTCGAGGCGTTGGGCGAGGGGTTTCTGGCCGTCAGACTTTCGAAACCAGAACTGCCAAAAAGCGCACCTCGTGCGACAGCCCAAGACGTGGGCTACGACGCCGTATGTAATTCCCCAAAACTGGGCATTTCGAAAGGAGCACCTCCTTGCATTGTAAGCCAAAGGCATATCAGTGCCAGTGTTGCCTGTTTCGCATAACTACGCTTTACGTCATACCTGTCATGTGTAATACATTGTGCGGTGTGCTGTACATGAAGCTCCAACGAGCAGCCCGCAGCGAGTGGCCCGCAGCAACTCCTCAGCGTTGTCGCTGCCATGTTACACTGTACTGTGCAGTGTATCCGGAGATCAGTTGGTGCGCTGCATATATGCAGATTAGGTGCTCCTTTTTGATTTTTCGCGACGCTCGTGGTTGTAATATTGAGCAGACTGCCGTACAATACTGCAGCTGGCAAGGTGGGAATACTGAAAGGCTTGCCACTGGACACACGAGGGGCCGACGGAATCGATGGCCTTTCTTTATTCCACACTAAAGACACAGTGTTGTATTTGAACAGAGCTCGTCTAAATGCAGTCACGTGGGGGCGGTCAGAGCCGTCGCCGCTATTTATATAGCGACGAAAATACGAAGAAAAGCGACCCCAACACCAATATCGAAAGACGATGGTGCAATAATGATCGCTCGCTGGATATGAATATTTCTAAACGAGGTGGATCTTGGCATTTGTATGCAATCGAAATATCCGGACTCGCAACCGCCAATTATCCGGAATTACGTGGACGGCATGGATGTAATCGCAGCGCAATATTTTAATCGATGAGATGTCGCGCGCTCTATAGGCGCCTCCCTAATATTAAAATCATACTGGCATTAATATTTCCAGTCGGCCACCAGTCTTGTTCTTGCCCCTTCCTGCGCGATGACCGAGATCGAGATCCGGCGGAAGGTGAGCCGCGGGTCCCGGCGGACGGCGCGAGAAAACTACTTCGACATGGACAGCATCGATGATGCAGGCATGGCGCCGCCCAGCGCTGGCCACCGAGCGTCCATGCTGCACCAGGACTTCCGCAAGAGCGTCAAGCGCCTGGACTCTGGCCATCATGGTGGCGTCTTTGAGCATCTCCAGCGGCTTCTCGGCTTCCAGTTCGCGAGCATGCGCAACCAAAAGGAGCATGTCGCCGTGCTTCTCACGAACAAGCAGACGCGCCTTCACAACAAGGGCAGCGCGGACCCGGCGCGCGACGCTCTCAAGCAGCTCCACTCGGCCGTCTTCACGAATTACACCAAGTGGTGCAAGTTCCTTGGCACGAAGCCACGCTTTGTGGGAGCGAGCCAAGAGGCACAGATTGCGCTCTACTTTCTCATTTGGGGCGAGGCCGGCAACTTGCGCTTCATGCCCGAGTGCCTCTGCTTCTTGTACCACACGATGGCGAGCCGTTGGGAAAAGCTCGAGGCGTTGGGTCACAAACCCGAAATGGCGCCTGCTGACACAGCGTTCCTCAACAACGTTGTGAAGCCGCTGTACAAGGTTGTCGCCAAGATGAACCCGGCGCTGTCGTCCAAGTCGAAGAAGGACGACGGAAAGCCGAAGGACCACAAGAACGTGACCAACTACGACGACGTCAACGAGTTCTTCTGGACGCCCGAGTGCCTCAAGTTCGACGAGACGAACGTCGCGCGCGCATTTGAGCGGCGCGAGGTCAAGACGTTCAAGGAGCGCCGGTCGCTTTTGAGCCCGTTCCTCGCGTTCTACCGCATCTTCTTCTTCCTCCTCGTCATGCTGCACGTTCTGATTGCGATCGCGTACGTCGGCGTCAAGACCAACAACGGCAACGGGTCGGGTTTCCACATCTACGACGACTTCTTCTCGAGCGTCTACTCGAACCTGCGTCTTCACGCATTCTACTCGATCGCAGCATCTGTCGCCGGTCTTCTCGCGCTCAAGGTCGTGCTTCAAGTCTGGATTGACGGCGCGCTCATCTATAGCCACAAGATGTACGCGCTCGCCTTGTACGTACGTCTGCTTTGGCACTCGCTCTTCCTCGCGCTCTTTTGCTGCATGATCTGCTCGCCAAACGAAACGGACATGGTGCTCGGGAAGGACTACCTTAGCGCTGCGCCCATTTACATTGGCGTCTACGCGCTCCCGGTGGTTCTCGGCGCCCTCGTCTCGATGTGCTGCGGCAGTATGCACCTCCCGTTCCTTCGTGCACTCCAGGGCACGCGCTCGCAGTACATTGGTCGCGAGATGGGTCAGCCGTTTGGTGACTTCGTCAAGTACGCCCTCTTTTGGATCCTCCTCTTCGGCCTCAAGTTTGTATTCAACCTCCAACTCATGATCATGCCGCTCATGAACCCGAGCATCGAGCTCTACGCGCTGCACGTCGAGTCGCAGTCGTCGCTGCTCAACTCGGACCACAACTTGCTCTTCATTGCGGCGCTCTGGGCACCAACGTTCCTCGTGTACATCTACGACACGCAGATTTGGCTCGCGATCTTTCAGGCCATCATTGGCATGTTCATGGGCTTCCGCATGAAGATTGGCCACTCGTCGCGCGTGACGCAGTTCATGGCCAAGCTCCAGGGTGCGCCGACGCTCTTTGACCAAAAGGTTGTCTCGCGCGTCGCCCGTGGTATGCTTGCTGCGACCGCCGAGGGGTCGTCGTCGCCCGAAGTCCAAGCGCGCCTCCGCTTCTCGGTTGTGTGGAACGAGTGCGTGAGCAGCTTTCGTCTCTCGGATCTCATCGACGACCGTGAGTCGGCGATTCTGCAGTACCAGATCTCGGCGTCCGGCCAGGTCGACGACCCGGTCTTTCTGCTTGCGGGCAAGACGTCGCGTGCGTGCGACATCCTCGGCGGCATCAAGAGCCCGTCGCGCTCCAAGATCCAAAAAGACTTGTCTAAGGATGGTCTGGTCAACGTCACGATCAACGCGCTGGACTTGGGCGTGCGTATCTTGACCAAGCTTCTCGGACCCGAAGACGCTGCGATCATTGACGGCCTCCAGCATGCGATTGCAAACGCAGACGAGACGTTGCGGTCGGCAAATTTGACGCACGTGCCGCAGCTGCGCGAAAACGCGGTTGATCTGCTCGCGTGCCTTCTCGATATGCCGGACGCCGAGGACGAGCTGCCGACCAACGCCCGTGTCGGTAGCCAAGTGCTCCAAGATCGCGTTTCGCTTGTCGTTGAGCGCGTTCAGCACGTGTTTGGCACGCTCCAGCAAGTCTTGCCGTCCGACTGGATGCGCCAGCGCCTCGCGGGCTGCAAGTTTACGCAGCTCACGTCCGACATGACGCACCAGATGACGCTGCTTTCTTCGCTCTTTGTGGACGAAGAAGTCGCGTCTGACGACGACAACAGCGATGTCAGCATCACGGAGAGCGCGATGAGTGCGTGCACGCGGCTGACTTTTTGCTGACGCTCGACATTGCCGACGCTCTGCCGCGCTGCGCCGAGGCCCAACGCCGCATGAGCTTCTTCCTCAACTCGCTGGCCATGTACATTCCGCAGGTGGACGCGATTCAGAGCATGCACTCGTTCTCGGTCGTCACGCCGTACTACAACGAGCCGGTTCTGTACTCGCTGGAGGAGCTCAACGACCGCGTCGTCGTGAATCCGCTTTTCCGGGCCGCGGAGGCCAAGGCCAAGAAGGACAAGGTCGGTCGCGAAGATCTGAGCATTCTCAAGTACCTCATCACGTTGCACCCGGAAGAGTGGGGCAACTTTTTGGAGCGCCTTGGCGTCTCGTCGCGTGAAGAGGCGCTCGTGTCGTCGCCTACGCAGGTGCGACTCTGGGCGTCGATGCGCGGTCAAACACTCGCGCGCACGGTGCACGGCATGATGCTGTACGAAGACGCGATCAAGATTTTGCGCTGGCTCGAGATCGGGTCTGATCAGAGCATGTCACACGACGAGAAGATTGAGCAGATGGACCACATCGTCGGCATGAAGTTCAGCTACATCACGTCGTGCCAGATCTACGCGGCGCAGAGCGCGTCCAACGACCCGCGCGCGGCCGACATCGACCTCCTCATGCGCAAGTACCCCAATTGGCGCGTCTCGTTCATGGAGCAAGTCGGCGACTCGTACGAATGCGTTCTCGTCAAGGCCGACGGCGACGACATCGTCGAGGTCTACCGCTACGAGCTCCCGGGCCACCCGATCGTCGGCGAAGGCAAGCCCGAGAACCAGAACATTGCGCTGCCGTTCACGCGCGGCGAGTACATCCAGACGATCGATATGAACCAGGAGCACTACTTTGAGGAAGCGCTCAAGATGCCCAACTTTCTCGCGACGGGCAAGAACGTGCAGATCATCGGTATGAAGGAGTACATCTTCACGGCCAAGGCGTCGTCGCTCGCGCGCTTTATGACGCTCCAGGAGCTCGTGTTTGTCTCGCTCACGCAGCGTGTCATGGCCAACCCGCTCCAGACGCGCATGCACTACGGTCACCCCGACGTGTTTGACAAGCTCTACATCATGACCAACGGCGGCGTCTCCAAGGCCTCGAAGGGCATTAACTTGTCGGAGGACGTCTTTGCGGGCTACTCGTGCGCGCTTCGCGGTGGCAAGGTCACGCACGTCGAGTTCATGCAGTGCGGGAAGGGCCGTGACGTGACGCTCTCGCAGATCAACGCATTCGAGGCCAAGCTCGCGAACGGGTCGGCCGAGTCGTCGCTGTCGCGAGAGGCGCACCGCATGGGCGCGGGCATGGATTTTTCCGCCTCAACGCCATGTACTACTCGCACATGGGCTTTTACATTGCCAACTTCCTCACGGTCGTGTGCGTCTTTGTGTACGCGTACTGCAAGCTCTACGTGGCCTTGCACCTGGACGTCGAGCAGGCCGTGATTCCCGTCACGTCGGACCTCGACCACCTCGCGCAGGTCATGAACACGCAGTTCATCTTCCAGTTTGGCATGCTCATGACGATCCCGCTCGTGGCCACCTTGGTTGTCGAGGTGGGTCTCCGGCAAGCGGTCATTCAGTTTTGCGAGCTCATCATCACGCTCGGTCCCGTGTTTTACATCTTCGAGACGGGCACCAAGGCGCACTTTTTCGACGTGGCGATCCAGCGCGGTGGCTCCAAGTACCGCGGTACCGGTCGAGGCTTTGCGATTACGCGTGAGACGTTTGTCAACTTTTTCAAGGAGTACGCAGCTTCGCACTACCGCAAGGCGCTCGAGCTCATGGCACTCATGGTGCTTTTTGGCTTGTACGGCACGTTCAACATTGGTCTCGGCGCTCTCGACGCGTACTGCCCGAAGGACGGAAACAATACCGAGTGCCAGGGCAACCCGCCGAGTACGATCAACAACCTTGACTCGTACGGCAAGAAGGGGCAGAGCTACGGCGTCGCGTCATTTGCTGTGTGGCTCCTCGTCGTCTGCTGGTTCTTTGCGCCTTTCATCTTCAACACGGACGGCTTCGACTTCACGAAGACCCGCATGGACGTGCTCAACTGGTTTGATTGGCTCGGCACGACGTCGGCGGCCGACGACTCCAAGTCGGACTCGTGGGCCAAGTGGTGGCAGTCGGAGGCCGACTTGTACAAGCCCATCTCGTGGACGAGTCGCCTCTCGTACGCCTTGCGCGAGTTCCGACACATCCTCGTCGTCTACTACATCTTCACGTACTCGTTTGAGCTCAGCAAGATTGGCCTACTCCTCGCGGCGATCGGCGGCGTTGCTCTCGCGCTCTGGCTCGGTGGCACCTTCTCGCGTATCCTCTTTGGCAACAAGCTCCGTGGGCCGCGCGGCCTCTTGTACCTCGCGATCGTCCTTGGTATTACGATTGGTGGCGTCGTCGCCGTCGGGTCGCTCTCAAGCTGGTCGGGCATGAAGACGCTTAGCTTCTTTGTCGCCATGTACGCAGGCTTGTACTCGCTCCTGCAGTACTGCCTCGTGCTCCACGGTCTCTGTGGCCTTCCGATCGCGCGCTGGGGCCTTGTCCAAGAGCTTGGGTATCTCTTTGACTCGCTACTGGGCCTGCTCCTGCTGCTGCCGCTCGTGATTCTGAGTGCGATTCCGTTCATGCACACGATCCAGACGCGTATGATGTACAACGAAGGCTTCTCCAAGACCTTGTCCACGGGTGGCGAGTACGCAGCGTCCATCTCGATGTTTACGGGTATCTTTGGCGGCTTTACACACGGCTGGTTGCTTTGTGCGCTCTTCTCGCTGGGTTTTCTCAACGACACCAAGTGGATTGCGCTCAACGAGTCGTTTGCCAAATTTATTGGCGACGAAGGCTTCAAGTGGGCGTCGGAAGCGGCCAAGCGCGATTTCCAGACGAGCCTTTCGCTCTTTGCGGGCATTGGTTGCCTCGCGGGTGTCGTTTTCGGTGTCGGCCTCTGCTTCGCTGTCGGGCGCCGCACGACATTTGTGCTTTCGTCGGCGCTGACGCTCGTGGGCGTCGGGCTCATGTGGGCCGTTACGACCACGTCGTCGATGGTCGTCGTCGCTGTCATGGTCCTCGGCGCGGCGATTGCCATGTCGAGTATTGCGATCTGCTTGTACAACTATGAGATTTGCACGCGCGACTGGAAGTGCAAGGCCGTCGTCGTCTTTGTCTTCGGGAGTGCGCTCGGGTACTTCGTCGAGTCGCTCTTGTTGTACCAGTGGAACTACCACCTCCTCGAAGTCGGCTGGAAGGAAGACAAAATCAACATGTGGCGCCTCCAGTTCATCTACGGCGCGATCCCGTCGGTGCTTGTCCTCCTCGCGGGTTTTTCCTCCCGCAGAGCCCCGTGTGGCTACTGCGCCGCGGTAACAAGAAGGGCGCCGAGGCGACGCTCGTCCGACTCCGCCAAAAGCACGATATTCTGGACGAGCTTCAGGCCATCAACGACGCCATGTACCCGAAGGACCCGCCCAATCTCGCGTTCCGCGCGCTTCTCGTGATCTTGCTGCAGGTCATGTACGCGCTCGTGTCATCGGGCACTCTCTTTCTTCGCGTGCTCGTCCAAGGCACGACGAACGCACTCGGAGCGCCCGCGTCGCCGTGGCAGTGGTACTATGGTCTCATGTCGATGCTCGGCTGCCTCATGGGCTTTTTTACGATCGACGCGATCCGTCGCAAGACTCTGCTCAAAGACGTGCTGCCTCTTGTGAGCCTCCTCTCGGTCGCGGCGCTCGTGCTCCAAAACTCGCTCTTCTCGGAGGCGGACGCGCTCAAGGCCAAAGACCCGCCGGTGCTGCTCTCGGTCGTGCTCTTCCTGTTTTACTTCACCGTCGCGTACTCGGTCTCGACAGCGACGTGGCTCGTGGCAATTGAGGTGTTTCCCGGTGGCTGCCAACTCCGCTTTGTGCTCCTCTCGTTCCTCGTCTACTATGGCGTGCACACGGCGCTCGCGTTCGTGCGGCCCAACTTTATGACGGCGCAGATCGCTTTTGCGGCGCTTGCGATCGGCACCACGATTGTGCTCTTCGTCTTTGCCGCGAGCAACCAGCGCGGCGCGATCCAGCTCAAGCACGAGAAGACCAAGGAGCAAGCTGCGATCAAGGCGGCTGAGGAGGACGAGCTTCAGCGCAACACTCGCGCGTCGCGGTCGCACTCGTTCCTGCGGTCTCGTGCCGACCGCAAATCCAGTTTCAAGGACAAGGATGCGTACCACGCGTTCGAGTCGCCAGCTGCAACGTCGGTCAAGCCCCGCGTCGTGTAGGCAGTCCGATATATTTCTTGCATACTCTAATCTTTTTGCGCATCACGAGGTGGTCTCGTTTGAAGGGAATAAAACAATTCCCTTGGTTCGGCGGCTGCACCGCAACGAACCAAGTTGCCTGCAGTTGCCGTCGGCTGACGCTGCTGATGGGTGTGGGTCCGACGAGCGTTGCTGACCACACGAGCCACCTGTTGCACAGCCGTAGCACGATTGTGGCGTCAGTTTCTCCTGCGAGGAAGAGCGGGACGATCGACGGGATAATGCACTGAAGACAATCTGTGGGAAGGTGGCATCGACTTTGGGTGCATGTAATGAGGGACGTCGAACTGCAGTGCTGGTCGCATTTATACTACGCGTCGAGAAGCTCTCACAGTGGGACATAATCGGCTGGCAAGACGGTGTCGAGATATAAACAGCATTGCGTACAGTACACTCGCTTGATGGACGGTCGTCGGTGACTGGACCGAGTTCCTCGCGCATTCGCACCGACTCGTTTCTCGCTTTGCGTCTCGCGACGAAGGCTCGCCGTATCGCGTGTAGTTAGTTTCATGATGAAGATAGATAGTTGTCGATAGTTAATATAATGATACCAAGAGACAGAACTACTCGTTCGTCGCGTGCTGGAGGCACTGGTCCTGGATCTTGGCAAAGCGATGGCAGCCCGAGACGAGGCACGTCCGTCCGAGAAGTGACTGGAGCATGCTCACGGATGTCGGCGACTGCAGCATTGGCGAAAGCGGCTCCGACGAGGACGAAGACGTTGGTGACGTGGCCTGCAGCGGTGACAACGTCGCATGGGCCTCGCACAAAAGGCCGTCACCCGACTTGAGCTTGCAACTGCAGAGCTGGCAGTAGTTGGCACCGCGATGACGCCGGCACCGACCGTTGGCGAGAGACCGCCGGTGGCACGCGCCGGAGGTGCACTGGCGGTACCCGCCGTGACCGACGCAAAGACCAGAGTACTGGACGACCTTGTGGCACCCGAGGACGCTGCAGCGCTTGCCACCGCCGTGGGCGATACAGCAGCCGCCACTCTGCGCCCGCTTGACGCAACCGTCGACGTTGCACTTTTTGCCGCCGCCGTGAATCCAGCAGTGCCCCCCCGTCTGCGCACTCTTATCGCAGCCTTCGGACGCGCAGCGTTTGCCACCGCCGTGGGCGACACAGAGGCCGCGGCTCACGGCACTCGTGGAGCAATTCTCAACAGAGCACTGCTTGCCACCGCCGTGCGCGATGCAGAAGCCGCGCGCCTTGGCCACCTTGGCGCACTGCGGAAAGCTACAATGGCGCGGTGTGCGCACGCCAGCCTTGTTGGTGTGCAGGATCAGCGTCGGGAAGCTCATGACAGCAGTAGTGGTACTTGATCGCCGATTGGAAAATGAAATATACGTTGAAGAATCTTGGCGTGGTGGTGGCAGCATGTAGGTGCATGAGGCCAGAGCGACCTGGCCAGTGCGGGTGGTGAGCGACGAGACGGGGTCGCCACTCGAGACAAGTCCAATGACGGGGCCCGAAGCTGATGTTGGAACTCGAATCAGAGTTGCGAGCCAGACGCACGACATTGGTGCGCTGGCCCACAGTACTTGCTCCAACCATCATCGACACTTGACTTTGTATGGGTGCCACGCAGGAGACAGCGCGCGTGCCAGTACTGGGGCATTCGATCACCCACTGCCCTCATATTACCGCGTCTTGTACTTATTCTAGGAGCATAACACGTCGGATTATACGTCTCGGTGGTGTTTCGAACTTCCACAGTTGGCGGGCGAGTAGCCTCCTACTTTGCATGCGCGACAGGGGACATGGACTCGGGGCACTCACGCTTGACGGCGCCGTTTGGAGCCATCACCGTATTGGCTAAAATGAGCGCACATCGAGCTCACATTGCCAATGAAGCGTCTCCGCGAAATATTTTTGGCCAATCGATCATGCCGCTGTCTGGCGGCTTCACACACACTAGAAGTGTGACCAATGCGACGGTAGAAGCCGAGTACTGGACTGACCAGGACGCGCACGTGAGTGTATTCGTTCCGGTTGCTCTTCGCGTGCGTCCAGGGTCTGGGAAGCTGAGAAGTGGGTTGCGTGTGGTTAGAGAGATGCCAACGAGTCGTTCCTGGCCGCAGCGTGACCAACGCAGCAGTCTGGCCAAGTACGGGACATACGCTTGTATTGATGAACATAACGCATAAGGCTCCACTTGGTCTTCGCTGCGCTTGCTGTCGTGCGCGATTGAGTTCGGCATTTCGATATGTGAAGTTGCGTGCGTCTAGTCCTACAATTTTCTAGATGCTCGGCTTGGGCGCTGGACCGTAAAACCACTTGCTCGAGATTTTTCCGGACTCATGGCGCAGGAGGACGACGGGCTTGGCGGGATCGCGCTCTTCCCGGACGACCTCGGGTTTCCCAACGTCGAGTGCATCCAAGAGAATGGAGATGAGATACTCGTCGAGTAGGCCATGCATCTGCGTCACTCATAGCTGATGCGAACGACGTAGGGAGCTTACGGACGCGCAGACCTACGCACACGTCATCGCGCACTTGGAACGTCGCCGCATCAAGGCAAAGCTCGCCGAGGCGAATGGAAGTGCAAAGAGGCGCAAGACAGATGACGTGGCAGACGACGAGACATTGTCTGTCGCGAGCACGACCAAGGACGATGACGCAGCGTCGCCCCACGACGACGTGATCGACCCGCGTTTGCACTACCGTCCGATCGTGTCGGAGCTTCAGGCCGCGACCGTTGAGCTGCATCAACTCATCAACACGATCGACCTTCTCCGGCGCCGCGAGTACCTCGAAGAGGTGTTTTGCCAGCGCGAGGAGTCGCACTTGAAGGCGAAGAAGGAGGATTTGACGTACCTCTTGACGTCCAAGGCGACGCAAATCTCCGACGCAGCTAGCATTCTGACAAAGGGTGCAACGGCGCTACAGACGTCGGTGCAGAAGGAGCGACTCTTCTTCAAGGGCGCTCGCAATGTAGTGTCCTTGTACCGCATCAATAACCTGGCTCATGACGAATGTCGACTCGTGTAGCTTCTCGGGAAATGGAACATCACGGCGCCGATCCATGGCACGATCCCCAAGCCGTTCCGCGCGGGCGAGCCGCTTGCCGTCGACTGCAGTTTTGCCACATGTAGGCTACGTACCATGTACGACGACGATGACGATATGCGTAGCCGGCTCCAAATTTGTTCCTCCAACGATGTCGATCAACGATGTGGCGTACGCTGAGGTAGCCCCCAAGTTGCGTTCGTGTCGCCAGCTCACGCACACTATAGCTTAGTCGCACGGCCGTCGGATTGGTTCGGGTCGCGACGCCCGAATTCCATCTTCAGCGCACACTGCAGGTCTGCGGCACGACGATGTTGTCTTGGCGTCTCTCATAAGCTCTGTAGCTGGAGTTGCGCTCGACCCTAACGTCCGAAGTCCTCGACTCGTACACCTTGCCTACCTTACCGATTGCTGCCTGGTACGGCAGCTTTGACATGCAATCGCAATCTCAATGTCTGCTCAGGGAAACCACCGAGTACGACGAGCTCACAAATTCGGTCGACGACGCCGCCAAGCTCGAAGAGCACAACCAGGCGTTGCTAGTGGCGGTCCAGCACGCCGTCTACTGCGAAGAAACATTCGAGACTCTTATGCAAGAGGTGGGCTGCCTGTCTCTTGGTGTAGATGCTATTATTGATCGTGTAGGCCCTTTTACCATCGGCTAAGTGGGTCGAGACGCTTTTTCCTCTCCCAAACTACACGCCAACTGTATCGACGTCGCGCAGCACGTCCAAGGTCGCGCCGATCTCCATGTCGTCGATCAAGGACGATGAGATCCAAGTGCGCATGGACCAGCACCAGCTGCTCACGATTCGTCTCGTCGACGCCAGTGACGGTACGGCGTTGGCGCCGCCGGCGCCTTCGTCGCTATGTCACCTTGCGACGACGCTGCTGCTCCAAGAAACCCGCAAATTTCACGTACGCTGCAACCAAGCCAAGCGCCCCGCACTCTTCACCCCGTCAGCGTCGCCTGGCCGCCCGCGCACGCTCCAGACTCTTATCAACGTGCTCTCTCACGCCCTTCTCAAGAAGCAGCTCCAAACGTACCTGGATGGTCTTGCGGCGTCACTAGCGACGGGGAACGCCGCTGTTCGAGTTCTCGACGACGGTCTCTGCCAGCCGCGCTGCGACTCGACGCGCGGTATCTACATGCTCTTGCGCTGGAAGGTCTGCCCGCAACTCTCCACACTGGCTGCACTCGAGCTCAGCATCGGCAAGGACTACTACTCGGGTATCCTATTGTTGTTTGGTGCCGCATACGACATGCGTTGACGTAGAGGTGCTTGTGCGTGGCACGCGCATCGAGTGCCACGGTGACGTGGTTCAGCACGTGTTTGGCCTCGATGCGTTCAAGGCGTGGGTCGAAGCCGTTGTGTGCCAGCAAGTTACGATTGCGCTGCACCGCGATGTCAAGGCGCTTGGCATGAAGAAGGTCGTGCTCGAGAATGACCGTCGCCGCCTTGTCTTGCTCGCAGCACCTGCGTGGGACGGTACGTACGTCGGCGAAGGCAAGATTTCGGACGACACGGTTCTCAGCTCCTTGTATGTGTTTTTTCTTCTACATTTTTTTACGCCTCGTGCACTAGGCTTCTCGAGCCTATCGTCGTCGAAATGAAGGTCACGATAGCCTGCTCTGTCGTCGCGCTCAGTGTGCCGCCGAGCGTGACACCGTTCGTCGTCTCGGAGGGAACGCAGATCCAGTGGAGTGCGCTTCCGGGTGCAAGCGACGCTGCAAAGCTCGCGTGGCTCACGCGGCAGTTTGAGATGCTACCTGCAGTCCTCTTGAGTTAGTAGGACGACGACTGACTACGTACGACTCCACATCATTCTTGCTAATCGTACCAGCCTCTTTCGTACGGGTTTGTGGCGATCGTTCGATGTAGCGTTCGCGATGGGTGGTGGTGTAAGCCCACGAAGGATAGAAATGACAGTGATATGGTGCAAAGTTGTTTTTCGGAACACGCGACACTTCGCTTGCGAAGCATTTTGGACGAGATACTACGAAGTCCCCGTTCACTCACGCAAATCCTTGACGCCTTGTCGCGCTGTATAACGTAAAAGAGATGTCGCAACGTCATTTTCTATTTAGAGCCCAGACCAAGAACAGTTCGTACCATGAATCTTATAGCACGTCGCCACGCCCGACATTGTTGTGTCAGCGCAAATTTTTGCCGCCGTCGTCAGCGGTTGCGAAGATTAGATCCAAAGCGCAGAAAACGAGGACGATGGCGGCGGACAACGTCAGCGACATTCGACGACAGGCACCGAGATGCTCCTCCGGTCGAAGATTCGACAGCGCCGTCACTCAAGGCACTTTTGCCACTGGCGACCAACTCCCCGATGGCTTCCTGCCCTCGTTGCTGCTGCGTGTCGGCGGTTTTGACGCTGTCCGCATTTCCTTTCCGCTGCATCCCGAGCAAACCGCGATGCTCAAGGCCGTCTGCACCATCTCGCCGTTTGGCCGTGGTCACGACACGGTCATCGACACGAATGTCCGTCGCTGCCGGCGTGGACGGCTGCCGTCAACCAGTTGGTCATTGACGCATGCGAGAAATTCGGTCTTTCGTTCCCTGTCGACGCGCACTTGTACAAGCTGCTCTTGTACGAGGCGGGTGACCAGGACACGGAGAAGTAGCCGGGCATGTTTGGGACATTGCGTCCAGCTTCCGGCAGAGCACACGGGGGTCACTTGGACGTCCGACACAGAGGCCAGACGAAGCGATTTGGTTTGGACAGCCCCGCGAGCGCTGCACTACTGCGCTTTCTTTGCCGACGTGCACCACGCCGTCGCGCCCTTGACGTCTGGCCACGACTCGTTATGACATAAAACCTCGTGCGTCGTGGGGATATTGGCAAAGTCGCGATTCCAAGCGACGCCGATGTTGTGGAGCGCACCACGGCGGCCGTTGCCAAGTGGACGTCGGCACCCAACAAGCTCGTGCTCGACCTGGATCACGAGTACACTAGCGTTAGCGCGACGTTTGCGACGCTCAAGGGCAAGGACCGCGCGCGTGTCCAAGTACTCCAGGCGACTGGTCTACTGGAGCTGCACCTCGTCGTGATGCAGACGCGCGTGTCCGGAGGCACATTTCGGGCTCAATTTTCGGAAGTGGCAGCGAAGGGGTCTTGAAATGGGCCAGATCGGCTACGATTGAAAATGCTTAAGATGGACGGCAGTCGCGGTAAGAAGCCGACGTTGCTGCAGTGGGTCAACGAGCGCAACCAACGGGTGTACTTGCCGGCTGTCGAGTTCGATTTAACGTCGGGGATGATCAATGAAGTCGCCGACTTTTTCAACTATTGTGGTGCAGCGCACCTGCGACAGCATGTCTTTGACTCGTTCCGTCTCTTGCGCCTCGTCTCCCTCGCCTCGTCCCCGCTCCGAATCTCTTCTCGCCTCGTCCCCATTTCTCCAAGCTGGTCCTGCGTGCCTTTTGTATTGCGTGTCTACGACAATATTGACCAGTTCATCCATAACTACATAATTCACTCTCCAATTTGCATCACTGTGTCCAAGCCTCCTCTCAGGGCTTGGGTCTCAACACGGCGGTGAAGCATAAAGAATTCTTTTGTTGCTGACAAGCAAACCTCCCCCAACGCTCCCCCAAGATGGCCACGTCACCTCGTGTCCAACCCGTGGACCCTAAGAATGTCCCGATCCCCGAGACGCCCAAGGCGGCGCCAACCTATCGTCGTAGCAGCACGGACGCCTCGATGGGTGCTTTCGATGACCCGGACGCAACGGTCACGTTGACGCTCGGGCAGATGGACGACCTTTTCAACACGTTCGTCACCAACAACCAGTGGCTCGGTGCGGCAGCCCGGACGCGCAGCCTCGCGCAACAACTGCCGCCGGTCGAGTTCCATCATTTCACTCATCTTGCGCCTGAATCCATCGAGCAGAATCGCCCGGCACCAGACGGCCCTGGGCAGTACGCCAAGACCATGCCTGAGGGTTTCACGCAAATCGTCACAGCCGACGACATCAAGGCGCCGTTCCTCAACTCGAGCGACACCGCGAAAACGAAGGCTTTCTGGCTCGAGTGGCACCGCTACGAAGATGCAATCCAAGAGCGGTTCAACCAGTTCGGCGGTCAAGTCGCCATCCAGCGGCGCGTGTTGCGCTATTGCGTGGACAACAACACACTTCGGACGATGCTGCGCTACCGCTGGGGCCAAGGCAGCCGGGACCTCGACTCAGTCCCGGACGACGAACTCTACGCGTTCTTCAAGACCGACTGCGAGCGCGTGAAGACCAACGTTGCGGACTTCTTTGCGCGTGTGCGTCGGGAACTTCGGTGCGACGAGACGATTCGCAACGGCGAGTCTCGTGCCCTTGTACTGATCGAACAATACGCACGCATCTGCGACGAATCGGGTTTCCGCGAGTACCACGACGTGGAGCCCGAATCCGCCCGCAACCACATCATCCACGCGGTACGGCCCGAATACCTCCAGTCGTATTTGCGTCAAGAGATCAACTTCTCCAAGAAACGTTACAAGCGGTGGGACGACTTTGTGGGTCTTCTCATCGACACGTTTGGAGCCTACACCCGCTTCGACAATTTCAAGAAGCCCTCCGCCGGCACGCCTCCCGCCGGCGACACCGCGCCCGATGGCGTGACGAAGGACAAGAACAAAGTGCACAAGAAGCAAGGCTCGAAGGCCGACGTTAGTGGTGCTAAGGTGCCTGGTGGCGCTGCGACAACGAAGAAGGCGCACACCGGCGACTCCAAGCCCAAGCATCCATGCCTCAAGTGCAAGGCTGTCGACCACAACGTCTGGAAGTGCCCGCTCATCCCGGACAACGACACCGGCGTAGCGGAGAAGAAGGCCCTCCTCAAGGCTTTCTACGACCAGCAGCGTGCGACCCGACGACGCCTCCGATCCCCGCAACAACATGATCCAGTCTGCGGAAGGCAGCCTCGTCCCAGCCACTGAGCAACCACCCGCGATCTCTTGTCCGGCGTCCTGGCCGGACCAGTGCCGGTCCCTATCTCGGTGCAACTCGATTCGGGCGCCGATATGACGGTCGTCACGCGGGCGTGGGTGGACAAGGCTCTACTGGCCGGAAGCGACGTCAAGCCGACGGTTTTGGCGGTCCCGCAACGTGTGCTGACATTCACGGGCCAAGTGTCAACGATCTCGGAGAAGGTCGTGCTTGACCTCATCTTGCCCGCTGGCAGCAGCTCGCTCAAGCTCCAATCGCTCCCCTGCATGATCCAAGAGGACGAGCTGCCAGACTATTGCGGCGATCTGCTGGTGTCTCGTCACGTGATGCACCAACTCGGCTACGACCCGACGTCTCTCCTCCAGAAGGCTGGCGAGATCCGTCGCGTTTGGGACTTTGCCGACCTACCGCCGCTCGACCAAGCCGACGGTCTCCCCGCATTGGCACGCTCATGGCCGCGCCTGCCGCCACGATGACGGACGATCCCGTCTACGATGGCCTCGAAACGTGCCTGCCGACGCCCGACCCGCTGGACACCCAACGACGCGAGGTACGCGAGATCCTCCAACAGCGTGTGGCCGAGGCCAAGGCAAACGGCCTCCCTCGTGCCTTGTGGCCCGCGCTCGAGCAACTGCTCGAGAAGCACAGCGACATCTTTCGCACGGCGATTGGCTTGGACCCGCCGGTCGACTACCCGCCGATGATGGTCAAACTCAAGCCCAACGCCAAGCCGTACAAGTGCTCGCCGCGCCGTCTCCCTCCTCAACAGCGCGAGTGGCTGCGGAACTACGTCTCCGGTCTCGTCAGCTCTGCGATCCTGTACCGCAACAACAACAGTGCATGGGCGTCCAACCCGCACATGGTCCGCAAGCCCGGTACCAACGACTGGCGGCTCACCATCGACATGCGGCAAGCAAATGCGTGTACCGAGGACGTCCAGTGGCCTATGCCCAACCTCGAAGCGATTATGGAGCATCTGCTCGGCGCCGAGGCTCTGGCTATCCTCGACATGTTCAAGGGCTACTGGCAGTTCCTGCTCCACGAGGCTTGCCGCGACATTTTCTCGTTCATGACGGACATGGGCGTGTTCTCGAGCACTCGCATCCCGACGGGTGGTAAAGGCTCGGTCGCCTACTACCAAGCCGCCGTCACGGACATCTTTGAGAAGTGGCTCTACAAGTGCCTCCTCATCTGGATCGACGACTTTTTGATCTACGCCAAGACGCCTGAAGACCTCATGACCAACCTCGACGCCATCTTCACACGGTGCGCCGAGGTCGGCCTCAAGCTCAACCCACCAAGTGCGTGTTCTATGCGCGCGAGATCAAGTGGTGCGGCAAGATCATCTCAGGCCGCGGCGTGCAGCACGACCCGGCTCGTATCAAGGCCCTGGTCGATCTCCCTCTCCCACGTACCGGTGCTGAGCTCATCCAGTTCATGTGCGCCTCGAACTGGATGCGGACGCACATCCCACGCTACGCAGAAGTCTCAAAGCCGCTACAAGACGCGTTGTTGCGTGTCTATCAAGCAGCCGGTACGAACAAGAAGCAGCCTCTTGCCCGCTTCTCGCTTGATGGTTTCTTCTCCTCTGCTGAGCTGGACGCGTTCGCGGCCATGAAGGCGGCGATCGCCTCAGCTACGCTCCTCGCGCATCCGGACCCGAACCAAGTCATCTGTGTTTTTCCCGACGCGTCGCTCGACTTCATCGGCGGCATCGTCACGCAGGTGCCGAAGGATCAACTCGAGCTCCCCGTTGACCAACAAGACCACACGCCGCTCTTTTCCACTCCAAGGCGCTGCGTGGCTCGCAACTTGCGTGGTCGATCCTCGAGAAGGAAGCGCTGGCGATGCTCGACACGGTGCTGCGTGTGCCCCACCTCACGCTGCGCACGACCGAGTTCTGTCTCTTCGTGGACCATGCCAACTTGATCTACCTCTTCGACCCGAAAGGCCGGGATCCGTCCCTCCCGCGCCACACGTGCGACAAGGTCCTTCGCTGGAGCCTCATCCTCATGGGCTTCCCGTACAAAATTTATCACATCTCGGGTCAAGCGAACGTCTGGGCCGACCTTCTTTCTCGATGGGGTGCCGGTCCGGGCAGCACTGCTCCGGTGTCTTTTTGCGCGCCTCACTCGGCGCCGGCGACGCCCGTCAACAACGCGATCATCCAAGTACGGTTCCCCGACAACCCGCGACCTTTGGCCGACCCCGACTTTGTCTGGCCATCGGTGGCGGAAATTGCGGTCCTACAAAGACAATGCCAAGCACAAGGCGCCGCCCTGCAGCTGTCCAAGGACTCCGCCGACGGACTGCTCCGCGACAACAACGGCAGCGTGTGGATTCCCGACGCGCCCGACAACGACATCAAGACAAGGCTCGTGATTCTTGCACACTGCGGCCTCGCGGGCCATCATGGCATCGACACGACGCTTCGCGTGCTTCACGACCACTACACTTGGCCCGATCAAGAGGCCGACGTCACGCGTTTCTGCCAACAGTGCTACCAGTGCCAGAAGTCTGCCCCAGGTAAGGTCATTCCCGTGCCTTTGGGCAGCCAGATCCACGCCTCCAAGCCCAACGAAGTGCTCCACTTTGACTTTTTGCACATGGGCCCCTCTACCACCGGCGAAGTCTACGTCTGCATCCTCAAGGACGACTTTAGCGGCTGGGTCCAAGCGACAAGCCACGCGGCGGCCGACGTCGACGCGTTCTTGGACGCTTTTTTCCGCTACACCAACCAGTTCGGCGTCCCGACGACTTGGGTGTCCGATCAAGGCACCACTTCAAGAACCAAGTCGTCAAGGAGCTGAGCCGTGTCTATGGCGCCGGGCACCATCTCACAGTCCCGCACACGCCGTGGTCCAACGGCACGGTCGAGATCGTCAACCGACGCTTCAAAAAGCTCGTCCAGTGCCTGCTCTCGGAATGGCAACTCCCGTACTCCTCGTGGCCCGTGGCAACCGCCGTGGCCATGAAGATCATCAACCACTCGCCGTCTCGTCTTCTCGGCAACCGTTGCCCGATCACGGTCTTCACCGGCATGCCGCCGCGCCTGCCGATCGAAGGTATCTGCAACCCGTCACGTTTGACATGGTCGACTACGACACGTTCATGCGTACCCGATACGACGACATCGACGAGCTCCACAAAGCCCTCTTCGAGATGCACCGACAAGTCGCGGACCGCAAGGCACACGTCCGCGAGCAAAAGCGCCAAGCCCAAGATCGCGCCACCAAGGCAGTCCTCCGCCAGTACGCGATCGGCGACTTCGTCCTCGTCCACACGACGCGCCCAAGCGTGCCCAAGGCCTCCTTTTGCTGGGATGGCCCGATGGTTATCAAGGACACAGTATCCGACTGGGTCTACCTCGTAGAAGAAGTACGCTCCAAGAAGACTCACTACGTCCACGCCGCGCGCCTCAAGGTCTACAACAACGCGTCGAAGGAGCTCTCGTCTCAACTGCTCGACGCCATCGACTTCTCAAGCATGATCACCGAGGTCGATCATTTTCAAGGCCATCGCATCAATGAGGCCGGTGTCATGGAGCTCGATACGGTCTGGCTCGGCATCGAAGGCAGCTCGTGGGAGCCCGTCGCCATCATGGTCGAAGATGTCTACCTCAAGTACAAGCAGTACATGTCCAAGGCCTGCGCTCAAGTTCAACCCGGCACGATGGCTCACAACGAACTCACGGCCATCCTCCGCGAATTCCCGGCCGATGCGTCCAGCCAGCACTCGGCCAAGGCGGCTCGCAAGGGCCGTACGCAGCGCAAGCGCCTCCAGAAGGCCAAGGCTCCCGCCAAGACTACAACCCGTCGCGGGCATCTTTAAAGAAGGGGTGTGTGGTGCAGCGCACCTGCGACAACATGTCTTTGACTCGTTCCGTCTCTTGCGCCTCGTCTCCCTCGCCTCGTCCCCGCTCCGAATCTCTTCTCGCCTCGTCCCCATTTCTCCAAGCTGGTCCTGCGTGTCTTTTGTATTGCGTGTCTACGACAATATTGACCAGTTCATCCATAACTACATAATTCACTCTCCAATTTGCATCACTGTGTCCAAGCCTCCTCTCAGGGCTTGGGTCTCAACACGGCGGTGAAGCATACTATGGAGCTGACGGAGCGCGTGCACAAGGGCGTCACAGGCAACGACGGCCCATCGCTTGAGTTGGCGTATCGCCGGTCGTTGCTCATGCTGTGGCCGCGCACCAACGACTTCGAAGTCCCACGCTTTAGACCGGCGCTGGACGACGTCGCTCAGCTATTTGGCGTCGGCAACGATACCGCAGACGCTATAATTGTGGCGCGCATGGGGGCGTTTACGATGACACCGACGGCCTCGGAGCTTGCTTTTGTACGATGCGGCAAAGACGACCGCATTTGAACCAGCAGCTGCTGTGCTGCGTCATGGATCCACGAAGCCCGATCCGACGGTACCCAACCGCGGCTACGTGAGATACGGTGGCACGAATGAGTATCGAGGCTCGCTCAAGAAGTTTTCGGTATCTCAGTTCCGTCGATTGCAGCACTGATGAACGCTGGTGGATGGACGCCGGTAGTCAGCCATCTCGTCTGCAGCTCGGTGGTTGTATCCCTCGACGGCGCTGCCGTTGTGCAACTTGCTAGTGCCGCTCCTGCTGCCACCAGTGCGCTGCTCTCAATCCTTTTTGGAGCTACTAGTAGAGAGCAGCTGCAACTGGTGTCTTTGATGACGCTGCACGATTTCGACGCTGCTGGTCACATGCCACCTAGCCTTTTCATGCAGCTTGTGGCGACAGCAGCGTTGAGCTACTTCGATTTAGCGGCTCTAGTGACACATGCCTCACACGCACATTCAGCGAGCCTCTTGCCCGTCGCTCTATCGCAGCGGTGACTCGACCGTATGCACACAGAGTCTATCTCGGCGACGCTGCTCGCAGTGCCCTTCGCCGCGCCCTCCTTTGTGCAATCGCTTTGGGCAAGTACCAACAAGTCTTTGTGCCACACGTTCTGGAGGTTGCATTGTGCAACCTCCAGAATTTACACCCGACTGATATGCGAGCAAGATTATGTTGAACCACCGATGGATACATCGATGCATAGATACCGACCGGAGCATGCACGAACTGGGGTGCATTGTGGGGGCATTAGACCTTTGCACGTTCCAAGGACAGCGCAGATCGGACCGAATAGCCGGTGTACGTTGCCCGCGTTAATGAGCCTTGGGGAATTGAAGGCCTTAATCGAAATAAACGCAGCTTGTCCCACGGCCTGGGGTAGCGCTCGACGAGGTGACCAAGGTTTTACAGCGAGGAGGCTAAAATCGCGAAAAACGCCATCGAAATGTACGGGAGGTAGCCGCAATCGTAGAGCTGTTGTCGTGCCACCACGAGTGTTGTGCCCATCACCAACGTCAAACTTCATTGTGCCGTCCACCCCTGCATCGTACTAGCCCACCACTATTTATACAGAACCCTGTAGGCAGTACGGAAACGAGATGTAGCGTAAACAGATGGTTGTGCGAAGATAAAAACCGAGTCGAACACCATCGGCCACTGAGTAGCCACCGAGGATGGCTGCAAGGCTGTGGCTAGCATAAATATTTGGCTGGTGGCTACCGCGGGGCTCGCTACGATCGTCGACACCGCCACTTGGGTGGAAAGTGGCTTCGAACTCAGGAGCTCACGAAGTTTCTTTCCTTCGCGGTGCAGCTGCTACCATGCGCGCAGCTTGTCCTCGAAAACTTCTTTGGTCTTGGTGACTTCGCAGCGCTCGTTCTTGCCCGTGCCATAGGTAGTTGTGGTAGCACTTATGCTGTCCGACTTGTTGGAGAACATGGATGCAAAAGTACGTGATTGGGCCGTGCTTGGGCAATGCCGCAAAAGCCCGAAACGACCATAAGCTGCGTCGGTCCACAGAGGAACGCTTGGACGTCAGGGCGTACCGACAGCGATGCGTTCGATTGACACCACTTGAATGCTGGTGGCGGCTCGTTTGCTGGTGGCAGTAGGCTCAGTCGAAAGAGGGCGAGGGCAATGCAAAATGACAAAGTGCCAGCTGCTGACAGCGCTCGTCATTGACGATTGTGTCGTTGCGACGACCACATGTCGCCTTGAGGGACTCGACAAAGACAGGCGCCGACTCCTGCACCAAGAGCAGCGTTGACGCAATCGTGAAAGAGTGTGTCGCGTCCGGGGGCTTCTTCGCCAACGCGACGGCTAGAGGTACCAGCCTCAGGCTCTTCTTGTTCGCCGCAAGTTTTACAAGCGAGACCATGACGGCGTACTTTAGCGCGGGGGTCGTCACGAACGAGCACACAGAGTGAGGTTTTTGGCCTTTAGGCACTGAAAACATAGTGTCTGCAATCGCGACCGCTAGAGGTACGGAAGCTGAGCTCTTCTTTCCAACCGCATACTTGACGAGCGAGGTCACATCGGCGTACTTCGGTGCTACAGTGAACTAGTACACGAGCTGCAAAAGACGTCGGTAGACAGACGGCCATTGACACACACGTCGTGCAACACCAGGGGCGAAACTAGAGGCAGCTACGTGTACTTTCAGTCAACGGCAACAAAGAGCACGGGCGAGTTGCACGATAGGGGGGGCCTCGAGACGCGGCACGACCGTCTTGGTGGCGAGCTGTTCCTTGCCACTCGTCCACTCGAACGCAGTCAGAAACGCACTAAGTGATGCAACGAGAATATCCGACACTTCGTCTACCGTAGACGCTTGTTGGTAGATACCGTAGCTGTCGTGTATGTCGAGGGCTTGGGCACACCCGCCCAGTTATCAAGTATAACCAGCGCCGGTTTCAGCGCATACCACGCAGCCACGGCTATGAGCGCAGTTGCGATCAGTGCTGGCTTGGGCGCTCTTATAAATCCCGCAATGCGCACCAACAGCGCCTCGCGGTGGACATATCGTTGGCGGTAATGAGTGTGTCGAGGTGCTGAAGTGCGGCGTCGGCGGTTCCAGGGCACACTCGCTTTCGACCAAAAGACGAGAAGCGTCCGTTGATGTGTGAACTCAAACGTTGGGCTGGAGTTGCTCATGAAGCCCTCGTACTCGCGGTCGGTGGGCTCCATAAATGTATCAACGAAGATGTCGTCGACATCGTTGACAAGTTCTTCATCGAGGTTAACCTTGAGAGAGAGGACAACGGAGCCTTTTCGTTTCGCTCGCTAATCAATGTCATAACGAGTCGTGGCCAGACGTCAAGGGCGCGACGGCGTGGTGCACGTCGGCAAAGAAAGCGCAGTAGTGCAGCGCTCGCGGGGCTGTCCAAACCAAATCGCTTCGTCTGGCCTCTGTGTCGGACGTCCAAGTGACCCCCGTGTGCTCTGCCGGAAGCTGGACGCAATGTCCCAAACATGCCCGGCTACTTCTCCGTGTCCTGGTCACCCGCCTCGTACAAGAGCAGCTTGTACAAGTGCGCGTCGACAGGGAACGAAAGACCGAATTTCTCGCATGCGTCAATGACCAACTGGTTGACGGCAGCCGTCCACGCCGGCGACAAGTGAACTTTGTCGGCGGTTGCCTCGATGCAGCGACGGACATTCGTGTCGATGACCGTGTCGTGACCACGGCCAAACGGCGAGATGGTGCAGACGGCCTTGAGCGTCGCGGCTTGCTCGGGATGCAGCGGAAAGGAAATGCGGACAACAGCGTCAACGCCGTCGTCACCCCAGGTACTTTTGCCTTGGGTGACGACGCTGTCGAGGATCGACCGGAGGAGCGTATCGGTACCTGTCGTGTTAAAGTCGCTGGCGTGGTCGAGGTGTTGTTCACTCGGCTGCCATCGACGTCGATGACCTTGATCTCATCTTCCTCGTCATAAAAATCGTCTTCGCTCACGATACCATCGTCCTCGTCCTAGTGGTCACTGGATTCTTCTTCTTCGGTCTCGCTAACGTTGCCCTCGTTTTCACTCCTCTGGTTCCTGTTGACAACGAGCTGATCGCACTTGGCCAATAAAGTCTGAAACATGATGTCCTGCGACAAGCCTTGCACTGTTTCGATGAGAGCATTTTCACAAGGCGACGACTGTTCGCAAGATACGCCCCTTCGTGAAAAGGACGTTTCGACTTCCTATGCGCGCAAAACACACACCTAGGTGTCGTCGACCACGCTGGCAAAGCTCGCTGGCAATGGTCTAGGATTGGACGATTCTGGACGTACAGAGCTTGGGCGTCGTCAGGACCAGTTCATTTGGGACACGGAGTGCATGTCGGGAAATTCTCGGACATTTCACCGTTAGAATGGACTTGCCTGAGAGCACTAAAAGTCGCTGGAGCTTCATCGTTCGTTGCCATCGGGGCCGTTCCGTGGGCAGAGGTAGATGCCGACGTCTGCTCCACAAAGCCTGGTGCATTGAACCGCTCAGGTAAATGCAAACCGGGAGAAATTGCGAAGCAGACAATGTTTGTAGCCTCCGCCGTGGGCCCAATTGCGTCAAATGTTTGACGGTATGAAGCTGCGACTTTAACGCCAAGCTCGGCCAGCGCGAAGCCAACGAGGCCTTCATGGGCCAGTTTTGTCGCGGCTACCGCAACGCGAAAGGCGAAGCTCTTGCCGACCTCTGCGTTGGCCATAGGCGGTCAACGCGATGTTTCCCAAGCGCGCCAAGACCTCACGACGTGGACGCACAACTGCGGCTCGTGTACTGTGTACAACCAGATCGACTACGTCTTGTTCCCGCGCGCCATGGTCGAGTCGTGTCTCGACGCGCACAGCTGGGGAGGCCTACAAGCTCGTGACGGCCGACTTCAAGATGTTCCAGGCGCTCGGTCGAAAGATACACGCGACCACGTGCAGATGCACTGGATATAAGTAGCTCGATGTCGCCAAGGACAAAACCACTATGGCCGCGTTCCGCGATGCCGACGACGCCGACGAAAAGTCACCTGACACGTCATGGCGCGAGCTTCTCGCCGCCTTGGTAACTGCTGCCGGCACGACGCTCGGCCACATTGAGACCAAGGGCCGCTACAGGTACGACGACGCAATCTTGGCGTCTCTGGCTCGTGGCCAGAAGGCGCTGCGCCTACGCATCGACAACATGAAGACCGCCGACCCCGCCGCCACCCGAGACCTCCGCATCGAACGCAACCTAGTCATGCATAGGATCCGCATGCGCTGCCGCGACCTTGTCAACGCTAAAGCTGACGCCCTCGTCGGTGAGATCGAAAACTTGAGCCCTACCTGGCAGATGTTCGCAGCCGTCAGGGGCACGCTCCGGCGCCCCACGTCCAAGTTTCGCCTCAAGGACCGGCACGGCCACATCATCATAGACACGAAGGAGACAGCCAAGCATGTGACTGCTCACTTCCAGGCCCAGTTCACCAGCCTGACCAACACCACCGTACAGCCCGACACGACACCCCGACCGCTCGACCAGCCCATTACGCCCAACGAACTCCACGACGCGAGCAAGAAGCTCCGCAACAACCGCGCCTGAGGCCCAGACAACATGCCGGCTGAAGTCTTCAAGGCCGCCGCCGACCTCGTCGCCGCGCCCCTCGCAAAGCTGCTCAACGACGGTTTTACCAAAGGACAGCCGATCCAGCTCGGCGACGGGACCTGCCCAAGCCCAGCAAGCCCTAAGGCGTGTGCTCGAGCCTCCGCCCGATCGTGTTGCTTAACTGCATCCGCAAAGCCGTCTCAGTGATGGTGCTCAAGCGAATCCAGCCGAAGCTTGACAAGCACATTGGCGCGTATCAGAGCGGCCTCGCCCCGGACGCAGCACGGCCGACGTCGTTTGGTCGCACAAGTGGCGCGTCGCCCGCATCCGCCAGTACGTAGAGCAGTTCTTTATCCTAGGTATCGACTTCTCACGCGCGTTTGACATGACCGACCGCGCGAAGCTCCTCACGGTGCTTCGGGGCTTTCTCGACCTCGACGATGATGAAGTGCGTCTGGTTCGCATACTGCTCACGACCTCGACGCTCCGGCTGCGCATCGACGGCAAGTCGCACAGCCCATTTGAGACCAACATTGGCACGCCTCAAGGCGACTCGTTGTCGCCGGCGCTATGCATTGTGGATCTCGACGCCGTGCTCAAGGACCTCGCGCAGACGCTCAGCCAGGAGGGCGTCGCCCACACGGTCGCCTACGCCGACGACTCGGACTTCATCTGCCGCGACGCTACTGCCATGACCAGGATCAAAGCCGCTGCGCCATACGTCTTTGCCCGGTGGGACCTCAAGATGAATGAAGACAAGGCGGACGAAACGCAGGCATTCAGGTCGACGCAGGTTGACGCGCCGATGCACGCGACCTCTTCGGCGTGGCACACAACCAAGAAGCTTGGTAGCCTCCTCGACGACGCGGCGGATCTGCGCGCTCGGAAGCGACTGGCGACACTGGCGCTCAACAACATGTGTAAGATTTAGATGCGTCGAGGCCTCATCTCGGAAGGCAACCGTGTGCGGCTGTACAAGTGCTACGTGCTCCCGGTCCTTTTGTACAACTGCGGCACGTGGGCCCTGACTCCAACGAGTCCGGCGGACCTTGACAGCTTCCATCGCCGGCAGCTGCGTCGTCTTCTAGACATCTTTCACCCGAACACGCTCGGCGACGTCGCCATCGACAAGCGCTGCAACAGAGTCCCGCTGAGCGAGATCGTCGCCTGCCAAGTTGCAGCACTCATGCGCAGCACGTGGTCCGCTTCTTTGCCGCTCCCGAGGCGCCCCGTATTTTAGGCCGCACCAAGATCACGTTGCCGATCGTCCTGCCCCGCGACCTCTAGTCGTTGACGCCGCCTCAGTCGCTGGCGTCTCTCGATGACCTCAACAAACTACGTAGCTCTGCCGCCGATCGCAAAGCCTGGAAGGAATTTACGGAGCTTGTCGTCAAGGGCCTCACCCGCGGCCGCAAGCGCCCCCGGGCGACACAGAAGATCAAGACGAGCCCCGCGCCGCTGCCTGCTCAGCCACGGCCCGGCGAGCAAATGAATAAAATAGATTGCTAATCTCTACGTATGCGATTTATTTGTAAAACAAAGAAGACAACGCGAAACACGTATTTATATATGTATTGACACTTGATCCCCGGTTATACGCATCGCTCTATCTATCGATGTTGCTAAAAGTCGAGGTCTGAAGCTAGGAAACGCCTCTGTAGCTGTGAAGTTATGCTGCAGCTGTAGAGCGTAGAAGAGGTAGAAAACGTGGTAACCTATTTAGAAAACGTGGTAGCCCATCAACACGTCCTGGTGGTAACACGAGGTATCGAAAGCTACTTTGTACAATGTTTTTATGTTGTCGTCATGGACGCATGCCTCGTCAGTGATGCAGCTCGTCGTCGTCGTCGTCATCCGAGATATCTTCGCTGAGCCGTTCGCTTTTGGCAAGCTCAATCGCGTTCTTGATCATGCTAATAGACCGGACGCGGTCTTGGCGCGAGAGGCTAAACGAAATTATGCCGACGAGCTGCCCCTTCTTGTCGACAGCGGCACCGCCAGAGAACCCATTGTCGAGCAGCGCGGCGGACCGTAGAAGGGCTTTGGGGACCTCGACGCCCTTGTAAAGCTGCGAATCCGTGCCCGAGCAGATCGCGTGGTGCACGGTGATGGTGTTGTGGCCGCTGCTTGGGTACCCAAACATCCAGAGCTCATCACCGGGCTCGACCATGTTGGAGTTGCCAATGTTGACGGCCGGCAGCTTCAAATGGCGCCAATCGAATCCGTCGTTCAGCGGGCGCACAGTCCAGTTGAGCGCGATGCTGCGCTCCGTGACATCGCCAATGTACAGGCCGCTTGGTGGGTCCGACCACACTTCGCCCTCGATCCAGAGCAGGGCGACATCCAGTTCAGCCTCCGAGACGTGCGGTAGCGCGCGCGCGTGGTACTTCCACGCAGGTGGTTCAGAGGCCGACTCGGTTGGGGCGATAAGCACCATGAAACTTGATGGGTCTGACATAACATCGAAGCGCTCGCCGGCGAGGCAGTGGAACGCCGTGGCAACGAGCCCACGCTCATGCAAGATGATGCCCGACCCAACGTTGAGGAGCTGGCCGTCAATAGTCAAGACAGCGATACGCACCGTCGACTGCTGCACTCGACGTACAAGCGACGTCCGGTACAAGTTCATGGCCTTTTTGCGTTGCGCAAACTTGGCAGCGGGCGTCACGGGACCTTCGGATGACGGTCCAGCAGCTGTCATCTCGTCGATGTCGTCTTCGTCTTGGCCCATGTCGGCGACGAGGCAAGCGGCCATGTTGAGCAGCTTCACGCGCGGGCCCGCGGGAATACCAAGGTCGCGAAGGTAGCCCGCATTCATCATCGTGAGCGCTTCAATGTCAATCTCTTCGCGCTCAAAGACGGGACCGTACTTTTGAAGCCCTAGTGACGCCAAGAGCGACTCCATGACCTTGAACGACTTCTTCTTCGCGGCTGCTTGCTGTGCTGCGCGCTGCGACGTCCATCGGATCGCAAACTTCTGCTTCCATGGCAATGTCTCGAAACCGACGCCGTGGATGTCGCGGTGAAAAGCAGCGTCCATACTTGCGGCATCATCCGTTGGGAACGCGTTGCGGTAGAGTGGCTTCCATGTTAGGTCGAGGGACGCACGCTTGTACCACCATCGACATGTCATCGAGACGACACAGAGGTCGACGTGGTCGAGGTAGCTCAACATACGCGCGAAAACGCCACGGGGCACCCAGGCGCGAGAGTGAATGAAAGAGTTAACGGGTACCACGCTGCCAGTGAGCACGTGTGGGAAGCACGAGTCGCAGACGCGCGACTTGTGCGTTTGACCGCGCAGCGCGACGCGGTGGCGAGAGCAATTGCTGCAAAAGCTGCGCCCGCAGTGGCGACATCGATGTGCGCGCCGAAACATGGTAAACTTGTCCGTGCATTGCGTACATGCATCGCGGCTGCTCGGCCGTGTCCACTTGCCACGATCCATGAAGGGCCGCGGGCCGTCGCTGGAGCTGACGGTGCTCATGGTACGCTGGGTCGCACCGTCATCCGATGCATTTGAGGACGTCGTCGATTCCATGGAGGTTTGACGGCGCTGCGCTGGCGGGTCCATCTTGGCCGCCTTCCAGTCGAGCATGCTACACAATCACGGGGTAAGCGACGACCCCAGCTTCTGTTCCCGCACCTCTGACGACTAGCTCCGAGACGAAATTGCGAAGTAAAAACGTCGCAACGCATCCTATATAAAGACTAGCCCTCGATTGAAGAACATTGAGAAGATCCAGGCCACCTCCACCAGGTGATTTCGTGATTCGGAGACGAAGATTAGCTTGATCAATCTGATGTAGATCCGCACTGCATGGGACTGTTAATGCAAGAGTACAATAGGTAAGGTCATTAGCTAAGGTCATCGGTACTAATAGACACCAACGACCTCGTAGGAGCGTCCAAGTTCATGCGGGAATTGCAGCTGGAATTGCTCTAATCGCGTAATGGTACACGTACTTCAAATCCTTTGGACTTCGCGAACGTCGGTGGGACTGATGCCACTGACTAGCCTAAATAATTCTCCAGCGAAACGAGATCATGAAAAACCACGACTGCAATCCGAGCAAATTTGGAGTGAATCAACCCAAGAACAATCAACATAACCAAGTGAGTCAAACAACGTGGATGGAATTCGAAATTAGCCTCGCCAGCTCGGTATCGGCCTCCGTGTGCCGGTTACCAGTATAACGGAGCTGTGGCAATGCGTGGTTCGTCGTCCTACCGGACTTGGATTGCGTGACCATCGTACACGGGGTACCTTCACACAGCCAGCCAGTGTTCTCGAAAGTACGCATCATCTCCTAGTATTCCTGCAAGTGCGTACTCAAGCACCATACTAAGATAAGCTTACTGCTTAAAAACGAGTTCTTCTATTGTACGCGTACTTAATAGACATCGGCGCATGTATATATATTGCCGACTTTTTAATCGTAAAATACTTATTATATTAATAAAACCAAACTCTATTGGTATATGTCGTGGCATTGATATATATTTCCAAAAATATTGGTAGGCAGCATATAATGCGCAACATACTTAGTTTCCAATAAACGTTTCAATTCTTCTCGGCTTTATATTTTTGTGTGTCCGATCTTTTCCAGCGCACGCTCCGCGTAATTCCGCGTGCGTCTATGAACCATTCAATCCCAGCATGGGCAACCCACAGGTCGTCACTTTTCAACGTTCCGCACACAAGTCATGGGTCGCCGTCCTGCCAAGTGCTACCGCTTCCAGAACAAGAAGCCGTTTATCAAGTCGCGCTACTGCCGTGGTGTGCCCGACCCGAAGATCCGCATCTACGATGTCGGTAACAAGAAGGCGTCCGTCGACACCTTCCCGTTCGTGTGCCACTTGGTGTCGGACGAGAAGGAACAGCTCTCGTCAGAGGCGCTTGAAGCTGCCCGCATTTCCGCCAACCGTTACTTGACCAAGTTCTGCGGCAAGGACAACTTCCACATGCGCATCCGCTGTCACCCGTTCCAGGTCCTCCGTATCAACAAGATGCTTTCGTGCGCCGGTGCCGATCGTCTCCAGACCGGTATGCGTCACGCGTACGGCAAGCCCACGGGTGTTGCCGCTCGCGTCGCCATTGGCCAGCCCATTATCTCGGTGCGCTCGAAGGACTCGTTCGGTCCCGCCGTCATCGAGGCCCTTCGTCGTGCCAAGTTCAAGTTCCCTGGTCGCCAGAAGGTCCTCGGCTCGAAGAAGTGGGGCTTCACCAAGTACGAGCGTGACGTTTACGCCAAGATGCGCCAGGATGGCACGCTCGCTGTCGATGGCAACCACGAGATCTACCGCCCGTCGCACGGTCGCCTTTAAACACCGCGTAGATAATACTCTAATTTTAATTCTTTGGCTTGTGTGAAGACTCGTTCTTTCCGGGACTTCCACTCAACAGGGTTTGCGTTCAATTCTTCTTCACGCGATGTATTACCGAAGAGAACAATAAGGTTTTCTTGTCCATGTGCAAGTTACTTGGTCGACCGGGCTACTCGTGACTTCTCGTGAGCCAGACCCATGTTGTTTAGCCCCACTTGGGAGCGACCAGCGGCCGACCTGGTGTTGTAGCACCGTAATGTACACAGGGGTGGGTGGCTACTCCAAGTTGCGGGCCAACGGGAGGTCGTGTGGTGCAGCGCACCAGCGATGACTTGTCTTTGGTGTCCTTGAAGACAATATTAGTCAGTTATTTGTACATAATAGCGTAAAGCATTTTCCCTGTTACCATCACCGTGTCCAAGTCTCCTATCTCAAGACTTATGCTCCACACGGCTGTCTACCACAGTCCTTGGCTTGACGACCGACACTAATTTTCGGGTGGTCTGATGTCGCCACGAGTGAATCGTGTCGCCGCAGCATGCATCCAATGTAGAGTGATCTGGCGTAGCCTTTTGCAATCGACGGTTGTCGATTCATTTGGTCACCCCGGTGTGATGCGCCGTGAAGCTGTCGGTGCGGGTTCTGTAATAGCGTCCACGGTGCAAACACAAACAGCAGCGAGGGGAGTGCAACAGTTCCGAGCGAAATTTGTAGTTGGGCATGCCACGTCAGGTGGTGTGGAACACAGTCCCACGACAACAGTTGTTGATAGAGCGCAGTGTTGACCTAGGACGATTCTACCTGGTTGACAAGGCCGGTTGAATTGGTCTCGACACTCCTACAGACAACCAGAGTGGTTCGAACCGCTGCGACCAGCCATATCACGAAGCGTCGATGGCCACGGACACAGACTGCAGCCGCTACATTCATCCAATGTAGAAAGAGTGAGCAGCCGTTTGGCATCGACGCTTCAGGTTTAACACGTTCATTTCACAAAAACGCGCATTTGAACCCTTGGTGTGGGTTCAACATCGAAATCATCGATCCCCGCGCTAGGAACGACAGTCTTGTTGACAACCTTGCTTGAGCAATCAATGATGCGACAATATTTCGCACGACATGTTGCATGCACGATTTTGAGTTGGTTCCGAGGCTTGCACAGGCAGCTCGAGTGGCTCCGCTCTAGCTCGTGGGATGGTAGAACCATGTCACGAAGCAGGATCGCCACGAATAGAGAATACAGCAACTACATCATGCATGCCGTGCAGAGTGATCTGGACATGGCAAGTGTGCCCACGGTTCATGATTTATTGTGCATATCGCTACGACACGCCGTGTAGCCGTCAGTGCGGGTTCCGAGCCAAAATTGTACATGCACGACAGCTTTCGTGCTCTTGAAGAGAGTTACGCTCGAGCAATCGTTCGTAGAACACGATGTGGACCAAGGTGGATTTTACCGTACTTCATTTGATGAAGGTTGGATGCTCTCGATGGTTGACACTGGTTGAGGCGCTTTGTTTTGGCGATTTGGTAGACAACATTACTTGTTTTAATGCCGTACGTATACGCGACCTAGCTGTGGCACCGCTCGAGGGAGAGAAACTCGATGTATCTACATAACTCGGCAAGCGCAAGCCTCAAGAAATAAGTGCGTCGGCCAGATATCCCTATAGGTTCCCTGTGGCCATGCCAATCGATTGCCGTGGCTAAACAATTGACGGTGGTGTATGGCATGACTCTCGATGAAAGTTCAGATATTTTGACCAGATTGAGATCCGATTCGGCAAAATCGAACGAATCAGCATCGAGAATATCTTTGTACAACCGGCTACCGTTACGTTGTATCCGGAAGATCTCCGGCGGTTCATAAGGCGGTTCGCATTCTTGCATCTCTTGGGGCGACGGTAACAGCATGGCAGACTTGACGCAGCCAGACAGCGAGTGGGTCTTTGACTTCATCATGAACCTTTTCCAGTCGCCGGCGTGGGAGGTACCGATCATGAGTTTTATCGACGAGAACTGTGCGAGCTTCGACACGGACGACGAAAACAAGTTCATTTACACCGACTTGCACCAGCAGTTCCGTGACGTCGGTATGCTATCGACGTCGCTCTCAAGCAAGGGCTTATCTACCCTGTGTATGACTAGTCGATGGCGTACTCACAGCAAACCTCGCGGAGATCGGTATTTCGTCCGCCGAATTCGCCGACATCTGTGTTCAGTGCCGCAACTCGACGGAGATCAGCATGGCTGTCGTCAACCAAATACTGGCAATCGACGACTTTCTCACGTTCAAAAGCTCATGGTGCGTTGTATCTGCCATGTATTGCTATACAGTATAACAAAGATGCCAGGTGAAGCGCAACCTGGAGCTTGAGCTCGAGGTCATTACGGCCGTGCGCGACCAGAAAGAAAAGCCGCTGATGAGGCCCGCGCGACACTCGAAGCCGAGACGAAAGAGGCCGAGTGCAAGACCATGCAAGACGATGACATGGACGTCAACGACTACGTCGAAGACTACTGGATGGAGATGGACCTGCTCTACAAGCAAGAAGAGATGGAGCAAGCGGAACTAGAGGCTGCAATCGCGCTTTCGATCGCTGTCGAAGAGGAACGGTACTGTTAAGTCCTTCGTGTCAGAGACAGCTGGGAGCGCGTTTTATGTATCTAGGTTTCGGCTGGCGTCAATTCAAGCAAAAGCGGCCGAGGACAAGGCCAAGCACAAGACAGGCCTTGTCGACATGGAGGTGGCGGAACAAGCGATTCTGCGCGGAAAGGAGCAGGCCGAGGAGGTCTTTCGTCGCAACAAAAAGGTGCTTGCGGAAAAAAAGGAAAAGCACAAAGAGTTCCAAGAGCAGGTCCGTGATCCCCACGGGGCAATCTGTTGAAATGTCTTCTAGGCCGAAATCTCGGATTTTGAAATTCGAAAGCGAGCTGAGTACTTGAAGGCGCAGCGCGACAAAATTCTTGAAAAGAAGAAGAAGGAGCGCGAGGCCAAGCTTCAGGACTACCAAAAAGAGATGAAGGTCACCTCACCCGAGCCGGTAGACTGGTTACTTTGCCTACAAATGTCGACATTGGTGTGTTTTAGCCCGCCACACTGGTGGAGCGTATGCAAGATGCACCAATTGACACTGGTGAGTCGAACGCTGAGGAGCGCCGGAAGGCACTTCGTATTGCACTCGCCCGACGCATGAAACAGGTGCCGCGAGGTATCGTGGATGATGCTTACGCCTGATCTGTTGTAGGATCTGATGGATGCCTCCGACGATAAAGTTGCCAACCAAAAGATCCAAGTAAAAATGCACAAGCATTTACCGTCAAGTTAGAAGGAGTCGCTAATTCTCGCATAGATGACAGACCTTGATGACAAGCTCAAGCGCGTTGAAGAAATGCGCAAGGTCAACCAAAAGAAAGAAGACGAGACCATGGTGGAGCTTTCCAAGGTTTGTCGTTGTTCTGTGCAGAGAGGAACAACTTCAATTTTGTCTGTGAAATAGCACCAAATGCGAAAACAGAAGCAGAGGGGATAATGCCAGTCCATTGGTGTACAGCACGAACTTATACATCTAACAGAAACAATACATGTAAGTTCTACCACGACTGCATCAAGTTTTTCGCATAGATTAGTTGCTTGTTGTGACGTAACTAATTGCGTGCATCGTATCACGTATATATATATATATATATATATATATGAACGTGTTCCGCGTTATCTTCCTTACACACGCTCGCATAGTTCGCATACGTAGTGCTACGCCTGAATGCGTGCGAGTTGGCACCAGCACTTGGTCGTTGGGAGTGAGCTTCGCACGGAGAGATCCATCCCGTGGTGGACCCCACTCGCCGAGGGATTAGCTCGCGCGAGGTCGTACGCAGGCTCCTGCACCCGACAGAGGAGTGCAAGCCGTCGGGTGTGTTTCAGACGAAACCGTCGGAGCCCACATCCGAATAAATCCGGATACCGACGGAGCACATAGAACTGACACCACACGCGGCGACGCCGGACGACTGCGGCGGCGGAGGGCCGGGAGGCAACGGGACTTCGTGGAGGCAGGGCGACCGCGCCCGCGGTGCGAAAGCACGGGAGGGCAAGCGACGTCTCATCTCCTTGACGGCTGCCGGGGACTCGACGGGCCTTGAATCGTCGAGGGGCATTGGGTGCTGAGCGCACGAAGAGCGGCGCCATCGGCGCGACCACCGACCGCTGTCAGCGACCAGCTCTTACACAGCAAAGGACGTAAGACACAGAGCACACAGCGCGCCGTGGCCCTGCGGGCGACGCGGCAAGCCGCGCCGCCTAAGGCACCAGGTGCCCTTGGAATGGCGTCACCCAAATCTGGCCAAAAACATCGTATCACGTGTCTCATAAAAACGAATACGCTTGTAGTCTATCTTCCACTGCAGCGAGCATTATGACAACAAAGAGTTTAGTGAAACTTTGTGAACGAGACATACCGGGAAATTGGGAATGGTGGATCGGCTACGTGTCGTGTGGACTTTCGTTTACATGCGTGGTGAGAGGTATCAAGATCATCTCGCCAGCTTGCGCGCAGTAAGAATCGTAGCCTCGATGCATCGGTAGCGCAAGGCGTGCACCACTAGCCAAGTCGCATTGCACCCGTTGAGGGTGCGCAGCAGTATGATCGTGGCGTTGACGTCAAGCGCGAACCGGTGGGGTGGAAAGCTAGCCATGCTGCTGCAGTTGAGGAGTTATACTGGGTAGTTGATGGCAGCTGCTTATTGTAGCCGATTGGCGTCCTCGTGAGAGAACACTAGCGTGAGCCTCTGGCTCTACTCTCATCTTGCTTTTGGCTTTGTCTCGTAGAGGGTGAGGAGTGTCTCCAAAACCGTCCTTGGCATGATGCATCATTGGCTATTTATCGCTCTTACATGTACGGATTAGCAGCCTCAGGGCAGTAGCTATATCATAAATGCTTCACGACTAAAGATTTGATGCGCTCAGCATATTCGCAGAGCTAAGCGTTGGCCACGAACTGCAATCCCTTCCGATGGTCAGTGGAGTGACAACCGAGGTGCTTTGCTCTCGCAGCAGCAGATAGCGTGTCCACTGGGTGGGATGCTTCCGATTGGTATCCAGTACCACACCCGAGTCACCATTGCCGAAACACCAGCGGGATCTCGGCTTGGGAGAGCGATACCACCTGGCTCGAACGCGCGCTGCAACCACATAGCACGCGCTTCAGCGGACTTTGGTCCGTTCAATTCGTACCATTTAAACATCTGGAACAGAGGCCATGGCATCTTCTTCACTACAGAGAGAGGCCTTGTTGATAGCACCGCACAGGGGCTACATTGTAATAATGACGAAGCATCGGGTCATAGTCGTCTGTAGCACAGCGGACCTATTCAAATAAAGTTGCTGTCGAGGAGGTTAGTAAAGCCAACAACCTTTACCGACGCATATATTAAGCAAGCCTCCGACACCAAATACTATATCCAATATTCAGCGAATTACACAAAGCTATAGCATCCATACAGGAGATCTAAGTGACTTGCTACGCTTCGTCAAATTGTGGTTCGACTACTCTTGTCAGGCGGTTTATAACCGGGATTACCACTACGGGTTTTTTTCCTATTTGGTCCATCGTTAAGCAACTTTACCGACCAGCTGCGGTAGTGAGCCAGATCCACTTGGATGCGAATGTGGGCCAACCTGAAGCTGCAACACCCGAAGGTACATCATTTGAGCTCGCGGGCTAATAGAATTCCTGGGCTTGGTGACCGACGCTCAATGTCAGGTGGTCTGATGTTGATGACGTTTTTTAATGCTCGTGGACTGGAACTGGTTGAAATGTTTTGTTTTGGTGTCTTGGTCGGTCGTACTTTTAGTGAGAAAAGTGTATTTTTCTTGTCGCTTGGCATGTTAACTTGTTTTTGCTGTTGGGCAGAGGCGGATGATACGGACCTTGATGCTAAGGTTTGATTGCTGATGGTTGTGGCGGCGGCTGGCTGATTTGTTTCCTGTGCTATTTTATCTCTGCTCTTATTTGTTCGTGTTCGATCTGATGCTGGTTGTGTTCTTTCATAACTGTTTTTTGTTGGTAGTAGGCTAGAGCACGTCGTCATCTTCGTCAGATACGTTATCTTAATCGACGTGTGGCGATGAGAGTAACTATATCACTTAGCTTCGCCTCGTTTAATTGCGCGGCTCAAAGCTGGCAGAGGCGTCGACTAACGTAGCCTTCTTCTGCCACCGCAACTTGTCGCTTAATTTTGCTTGACAGACACAAAATCGTAGTCGACTACTCGTCACTAATACTTGCTGCTTGCATCAAACCGTTAGGCAAACCGTAAGGTCGCTTCGTTTCGCATACCGCTCTGTAAAGTATTTAAAAGAGATTGACTGTTCCAAATTGCGCCCGAAAACATATAAATACCAAACAGAGCCACAGAGGCAACATTTAACAAGGTTTTAGAATATATATTATGAATTTTAGCCGGTTTGGCTTTTATCTGCTGACGAATACTACACAAGGAACGCGAACCACGCAGCAATACAGAACCAGTAAACGGAACACCAATGTCTCGGGATCACAGCGGACGTCGGCAGCTGCTTAACAAGCGGCAAATTCTGAAATGAACTACCGAAGCCTCACGAGAGTTAAATAGCATGCTTTTTGTTCGTTTTCACTTTGCCGCTAATAGGTGGCTTTTAAAATGGAATCGGAGCTTCCTAACGGCGTTGCCGGATCAACATTTTGAAGCCAGCGATGCCCTCTATTGGTTCCACGGCGACGACGCCGACGTCATTATCGACAAGGCCGTCGCGCTCACGATCAATGTTGCAACCCTTAGCGAGAGTCAGTAAGGTGGTTTATGGTTGTTGTTGGATTAGGTCAGTTCTTAATGAGCAGAGCTTGCTGGAAGAAATTGTCTCAACTAAGTCTGTTGTTGAAGCGGCTGGTTTCGTCAACATGTGTTCTGAGTGACACTTGCGGAGGTGGCCTGGACCCACATGATTCGGCACTGTTCGGTCGGATACATCGCTCGACGCAGAGAGGAGGGTGGCTGAGAACGGAAAAAAATGCGCGCGCGTAGCCGGGCTGGCGACCTTCGGGATGCGAGGCAGAAACTTTACCAACTGATCTGGGGCGCCCTCGAAAGGTGGTTTATGGTTGTGAGAGAAAGGAAGGTTCATGCTACCGGCAAGGGTCATACCACTGGGCGCAGCGACGCTATTTGTGCAGATCTGTTGCCTAAAACGCTGAGTGCTATTAAGAGAGCTTCCTGCTATATTTGAGATTTCTGTTTTGCAGGCATGGCTTTTCATGACTGAATATGGAACATCGAGGTACAGTCTGATGGCACAGTCCGTTGGCGCCTTCATGCCTTTAATTTTTCATTGGTTCATCGCATGACCTCAACCGATCCGTTCTTGCTGGCCACCATTATGAAGATTAACCCCGATAAGGACGGCCGGCGAATTTTTTTATTTATTATGTATAAAAACGACCGTTCCGAGGGTCTGTTTCTAAATATTGCTTGAGTTAGGTGTAAAAACAATGGGAATGATCTTAGCTTAGTCAGTTAGTCAAATATCTACCAATCAGGTCAGAACAATTTATATGTATCCGGAAACCGACTAACCAATAGGAGGGGCGACGCCAAGGGTGTGAGGGGCTAGTGTTAAGTCTATACTGCCGCAATACCTCATGGCGACGGCTTCAATTATGCGCGGTGTGGATATACCTGATAACAGCGCTCGTACAAACAACGATTTAGTGCCGCGCCTATATCTACAGCATGTTGTTTCGGATCAAGTTTGGCACATAGTCTAGTATAATATGCGAAGAGAGAATCATAGCGCGACAGAGTTGTACACTGCGAGCGCCTACTTGCTTCGCACTGCTATGTTTCTACCCCTGCTTTATCGCTTCTGTGGTATACTATTCTGTTGTACACTTCGTGCCCGTATTTGCTTCGCACTGCTATGTTCCACCCCTGCTTTATTGCGGGATACGTTATCGCTTCTGTGGTATACTGTTCTGAAGAAGTCCAATGATTCCTATATCAAATTGGTCTTACATGACGTTGGCCATCTCAGTTGTCACTGTTCCTATATGGTTAGTTACATAACCAGGATAACGGATCGCAGGCCGTACAGAAAGAGGGTCACAACTTAGAGCTAAGTGCTTAACACAAAGCAAATACGGGTGCAGCGATTACGCTGAAGCACGGTGCATAAGCCAAGCCACTGGCCAGACAGATGTAGCTAGTCTCCAGGTTGCTCACGTACACCATCAATTGCCAAGTTGTTCGGCGAATGGAGGAAGCCTGCAGTACAGCGCAAAGCGTCTGTCGCGAAGCGGCAAAAAGTGCGAGGCAGGTACGCGCACGCAGCGTGCAACGGTATGCCATATGCCACGTCAGGATCGTGACATCTCCCGTTGCGCTTTTAATCTCTGTTCGCATCTCACACTAGCCCACACGCCATGTGGGACGAGTTTGCACAATGCTTTGTGAGGACTATGTTATGGCACTGCTGTCTACAGCGACCTTCATCCCAGTAACCTGTGTGCCATGCGACATCCACAAGCTCTTCAGCTTACCAGGCCAGAACCTAATGCTCAGTGCGTTTTCTACACTGCCCTAGCTTGATGC